CCTGGGAGCCAGTGATACCTAACTTAGTCCACTGTCCACCAGCAAGTGGTTCGGCGCCCCTAGCAGCCCAGCCGTGGGTCATTGAGATCATTGCTGGGGTCACGGAGATCCCCTTTGGCCCCTGCCATGGCGCTGCGTCCAATCCGACGACGTTATTACCTAGCATGGGCTTGACAGTCCTCACCCACAGCCTTGTTGCTACTTGGAACGGGGATCGGGCCCTGGGCAATGCTCCTAGCAATTTCTAGATCCGTTTGATAATATCTGTGCAGATACCCATCGAGTTCCGAAGAGGAGTGCAGCGGTAATAGGAGACCCCACGCGATGCATCGCTGAAAGTCAAGGTTAAGCCAAGGCCAATGATGTCCTGGCCCTGAATGATGGTTTTCTGGCGGACACGCCACCTTGCGCTAGAGCGACACCCCCTGAGCCCTCCTCTGTCGTTGACCGTTATTCTAGGTTGGCAACAAGCGTCCGTGTACGTACATCTCTATACCGCCTGATGGAGAGGTCATGTCTAGCTGGTCTGGCTGGCTACGGGATCGCTGCCTGACTAGTAGGTACTTATCTATCCGGAGCGCTGTCACGCACAGCCTTTGACGTTGTCAATGCTAAACAGACACCAAAGACGACCACCACCCCCTCCTCCTACATCAACCTTCTTCAAATCTACATACGTCTGGGAATACGCAAACCAAGACCCGGGGCCCAGTTCGTTCTTCGTCAATCACCGTTCTCTGTGTTCCCTGACGTTCATCCTGCACTCTCGTCAAACACACTACCTTGGCCGACTTGAATCGGCGCCTTGTCCCTGGTCGTGGATCACCACTTACACGCGCCTTGCCCCTACCGACGTATCCCAGCCAGATACATACTTCATGCGCCAACCTGAGCCTTATTTATTCCGTCTCAAATACGGCCACTTGAGCTCCTGCGCCAAATCCCAAGCATAAGATCTCGTTCAAAGTCGTTGGCGCCGTCCTAATCGCAGACTCGACTCGTCCCCTTCAATTGCCCTATTGGCTGGCGCATCACCAATCAGCACCCGCCTGCAAGGTTGTAAGCTTCCCATAATTCGACGATATACGCCTTCCCCGTAGGGCGAAGCTATTCTGGCCTCTCTTCTAGCACAACCCCCTACTTCATCCTGCTCTGTGCTTTCTGGAGTCGAGACATTTCCTCGAGACCACCCAGCCTCTGTTGGGGCACACAATACAGTCCGAGCACCAGCAGACACGCGAGTATCCACGACAAACGGCGTGGAAAGCCAGTTGCGATTCTGGCTCAACTACAGAGCCAAGTTCCGGTCTGCCTCCTACAGGCAGGGCCTCTTTCAGCCACTGGTTTTGCGCAGGCACGCTGTGACCGATATCGCAACCATCGACCTCACGCCGCCCAAGCCTCCTCCGGTAGCTTGAGCAACCCTCCTGTCAACGTGGATCTCCAGACTCTTCTAGATGGGCGCAATGCGAGCAGGCTCAGCGTCCAAGCCTCTACACGCTTTGAGCAGCAACCGCAGCCCTCGCCAGCACACAGCCAGATGGCAACAGCGACAATCACGTCGGTATCACCACCGTCATCTGATCCGTCGCTGGCGCGTGCACAGCAACGCACCACGGCATCCCAGGTTGTTCGGCGAAAGAACGTACCTGCCACTAGGTCCAGCGGCCGACGCAGGATGCCGACGCCAGAGGGATCAGAGCAACCAGCCAAGAGGCAGAGCAAGTGGTCTGCGCAAGAGAACGCCACCATCATCGAGCTTCGAGGGAGTGGCATGAAGTGGGAAGACATTTCAAAACAGATCCCCGGCCGAAGTGCCATCAGCTGTCGACTACACTACCAGAATTACCTAGAGAGACGACCCGACTGGACGGAAGAGCGCAAGGATAAGCTCGCACAGCTCTATGAAAGGTTGGCAGCCCTTATTCGAAGAATATACCTGACCCGTAAAACTGACACTTGACAGATTCAAGGCTGAAATGTGGTCCAAAGTGGCGGAAGAGCTGGCAGTACCCTGGAGGGCAGCTGAGGCCATGCACTGGTCCATGGGCGAAGTTGACATGGCCGCGAGGGCCGGGACGACCCCTTTCTCCATGGCGGCCGTGAATGCCGACGCGAGGCGTCGCAGGTCTCCCTCACGCACGGACTACAGCCCATACCGACACGACACAGTCCCCCTCGAGATTGCAACGGCGTACGACTATGGGTCACAGGCCGCCGCTGGCAGACCCCAAGCGATCGACACACGGCGTGAAGCGATGCCCCCGCCTCCGCGCTCCGCCAGAACGGAGCAAGTCGAAGGCTCCTTTGCACCTCCACTACCAGCACTGGCACCTGTACAGCTTCGCCAGACGCCCCAGAACGCCAGCGGTACCTTCCTACCTAGCATTGCGGAGATGACAACCGGTGTTGCGCCTTATCGCGGTGCACATGACAACACAACCGCGCAGGGCATGGCCATGACTCCGGGGCCATACCACCCTCACATGCCAACGGGGCCAGACACGCGCTATTGTGTGGAGCGTCAAGGTGTCAAACGACCGGCGAGCCCCGAGAACAGTTACCATGACACGAACCAACGCCGTCGAATAAAAATAGAGCAAGTGTCAAACTAGAAATCCTGGTAAATGGCGCAACAGGCCAGACAGATGGCAGAGGAGTGTTTGAGTATGCAGACCTGGGACCCGGATTTCGTGTGACCAGCTGTTGCATTTCTGGTTTTGATATCTTCCATGGCAAGCGAGCGAGATTGTTTTGAGCGACATGACACGAAGGAGTGGCATCTTACTGTACGAGGGAATATTTTACACTGGCAAAGGGAACGACAAGGGCATTTAGAAAGGAGTACGACACTTGCAAGGGAACGACAGGCAATTTAGGATTGGGACAGCAAGCATCGTTTACAAGGAAGCTTTGAAAAAAAAAAAAAACCCAACAACAACGAGATAGACAGCATCTTCGAAGCATAGATAGCGAACACTCGACAATTAATGGATAGGTGAATCCCTAAGCAGCGACAGTGCACATGCTCCAGTGGGCCTTGGACGAGGTGTTTGTCAGGGCGTACTCGGGCGTGTTTGCGTGAGTTGTGTGAGGACTCGAGCGGCACATTCCGAGAACCGACGTGACCTCGTTTTCTGTTGTGACTCACGCATTATCCCTGCCGATGGCGGTGATCCAGTGTTCAAAGGCTCATTGCCTGATCGGAGGGTACACGAGGGCTTCTACCAGCCATAGCAAGGTCACACGCAACAGAGGAACGATGGAACATTGGGCACCCACCAGCGCAAAAGTTTCATCTTGAACTTGGCTTTGCATTGTCTGTTCTCTTACAAATGACGTACCAGTTGTCCCGCTCGTAGCCCGCCTCCTTGACGAAGCCACCCGCAGCCCGCACATCCTCCTCGAGCTCCCCCTCGCGGTAGAGGTGATAGTAGCGCTGAAAGGTCCTGTCGGCGTCGTCGGATCCCTTTTTGGCGCGCATGACCCAGGGCACGAGCGTATCCTGCGCACTGTCCTCGTTCCAGCCCCGGCGGCTGGACGACTGCTCGAGGGCCCAGACGTAGATGAGGACCATGCCGCCGCGGGGACGCACGCACGCGAGGAGCTTGGCAATGGCCTCCTGGCGCCGCGCCCTGGTGGAGAGGTGGTGTATGACGGCGATGCAGATGGCAAAGTCGGCCTTGCCCGGGCGGTAGGGCAGCGCGAGGCCGTCGGCCACGACGACATCTGCTTTGCGCTCCGTCTGGGCCAGCCGGACGAGGGCGTCGCTCCGGTCGGAGCCGAAGAGGAACAGACCCGGGTTGACGTCGAGATACTTGCCATTGCCGCAGCCGACGTCTAGGCCGACGGCGCCGGTGGGCAGCGACTTGAGGAACGAGGCGATAAAGGGCCAGGGCTTGTGGCGCGTGGCGGAGAAGTGTGGCGCAATGGCGTTGTAGACGCTGTGGACGTGTGTGGCCTCGTACGACGCGGCGGCGGTGGCATCCTCGTCATGGCCAGGGCCCGTGTTAGGCTGCTGCTGCCCAGTTTGCGCTGGTGGTGGTGGCAGTGACGGCCGCTGATGAGGTTCGAATGAGGATGACATGCTGTGGCCGGGAGGGCGTGTGCGTAGACAACAGAGCGTGTCCGCGGACGCCAAGTTTGGTGTTCTTGTCTGCAAAACCTTGGGAATGCCCAAGTGACGTCTGTGTCGGCGCCAACGTGAGTCGACGCTTGCTCGCTGGGGATAGCAGTTGTCGGACTTGTTGAAGAGCGCTATCCGTGTTTGGTGGTGGTTCATGCTTTGGCGCTGCTCCATGGGTTCGTTCACCGTTCACGTCAACATAAGTGGAACCCCTCGGAAGAATAATTTAGTCAATTGACTCCATGACTCGTTATTCATTAGCACGTCAATCCCCCTGACTTTTCCATATTTACTTGTCGCGATTGCAGGCTTTGCTGCGAGAGAAGTGCACCTATAGGATCCTTGGAGGAGCCAGCTTCTGCTTCACCAGTCACAACATGCACGAAACAAGCCCGCAATCCTTGAAACCAGATTCTACTTTGCCTCAACGAACTACTTCCCTACTTTGAAAGCCTGTACGCTCACATGATGAAACGGTGACATTCGGAACACAAGGAGCGGGACCCCGGGACCCCACGATCAGTCATGACTCGGCTATGTCGTCTGTGCAATGTTGCTCACGCCTAGCTTCATTCTTGCTCGGAAGGGGGGTCCGGTTCCGTCGATGATTCGAGTCATGAACCCTCACTTTGACAAAGCTTATCGGCGCAGCCGGCGTCTACCATGGCGAGGACAAGTCCGCGCTCTTCATTTGACGCTACTACGCATCGCGGGAAGAACACTTGGACGTGTTCATGCGCCTTTACGCGAACCGGTTCGTTTTTGGGTTGAAGCTCGCTGGCATGCGAGTCATGAATAACAGGTGTTATGCCGGAGATTGCGCATAATCTGCCCACGCTATGATCTAATAATTATGATTGTACATCTAGAGGATCTATTGGTTTCCGGTGTTGAGAGGGCTCTTGGCGTCGTACACGTCGGTCGTGATGAGATCCGGGTACGTCACGCTGCCCTGCTTGAGGACCTGGTCCATCACGTCCATGATGACAATACTCTCCTCCCAGGGCATGAACGCGCTCTGCTTCTTGCCGTCCCGGAGGCAGCGCGCGCACTCGTCGGCCTCCCAGAACATGCCGTGGCCCCAGTTGCTGCGCTGGGGATCCGTGGGAATGGGGCAGTCCACGACCTCAACCTTGCCGTCGCTGTCGTTCTTGATCACGCGGTAGGCTGTCGGACGGTAGGCCGGGTGCAGGACCTGGATCTCGCCCTCGGAGCCCTGGATGCGGATGGCCGCACCGGCTGTCTTCTGGCCATCGGGGTCCGTGGCCACGCGCAAGCCGGTCGTGGCGATGCCCATGGATGCGTGCTGGTGAAACTGGCAGATGATGCTCGTCTGCTCGTCGGCCCCGGTCTTGTACTTGTTGATGGCAGAGACGACGTCGGGCGCCTCCTTGGACGCCTCGGGCTGGACGTGGTAGAGGGACTGGAAGACCCAGGTGAGGGCGTAGATGCCGAGATCGAGGAGGGCGCCGCCGGCCAGGTCGAGGGAGACCATGCGGTTGGTGTCGGGGAAATCGAGGGAGCCGTCGGGGTTCGCCTTGCCAAAGCTGAGATCGGCTGCGGGGCGCGCAAGAGTGTCAGTGATGCTGTGTCGTTGCGTCCTGGGAAAGAGGAGAGAAGAAAGGCTTACCAAATGTGCGGTAGACGGTACCAATGGCACCAGAGCTGATGAGCTCCCGCACCTTGATGCTCAACGGGAAACACCTCGTCCAGACAGCTTCCATGAGGAACAAGTTCTTCTCCTTGGCCTTGTCCACCAGCTTCTTGGCCTGGGCGACCGTCACGGTGAAGGCCTTCTCGCAGAGCACGTTCTTGCCGGCTTCCAAGCACAGCATGGTGTTCTGGAAGTGGTGGCTGTGCGGCGTGGCGACGTAGACAATGTCCACGTCGGGGTCCGCGACCAGCTCGGCGTACGAGCCGTAGGCCTCGGCCGAGCTGGGGCCGTCAACACGCTTGATGAAGTCGGCAGCACGGTCGGCGGAGCTGCTGGAGGCTACGGCGACGAGCTCGTGCTTCACATCGGAGACGTCACGGATGGCTGGGTTGGTGAGGAGATCCTTGGTAAAAGTCTCGGCGATGCCACCGGTGGCAAGGATGCCCCATTTCACGGTGTAAGGAGAATCGCCAGCCATGATTGCAGCTGTTATATGGGCGTTGTGAGGTGAAGTGAGAGTTGACGGAGAGCGATGCTGGCTTGAGGGGTAAAATGGGAGAGTGAACGGAGGCTCTAAATACCAGGGAAGGTATGATGAGGGGCAGTTCCAGCAGATCTAACGTTACCTCCTTAACTACCTTACTACGTATTTGCTTCCGCCAGACACTTAGCAATTGATTTACCCCATCGTCTTTGAGGCTATTCGGTAGCGATTTTGCCGGCGGACCATCCATGATCTGGGCCGCTAGTTGCACCACCCGGGTCGTCGAGACCTTGACGCGGACTTGACATCGTCCAGTCGAAAGTGTCCCTCTGGAAACGTCCCTCCGAGACCAATCACTACTCCTCCCCAGTTCTAAACATTATTGTTTCTTCGCCGTCAATTAGCTCCGAAATCGTGAACCCTTCACCTCCAAAGCTCCAGCTGCCTCCACGCGGCGGTGCTTCCCCGCGTCAAGGTCAATTCATTGACGGTCATGGCGGAGAGCAAGTGGGGGACACCCTTCAGACTTTGCAACTAGAGCGCGCGGATTACGCGCGTGTATCGGCACATCTCTCGCGTCGATGCGCCGTCGATTTGCACCTTGTTCAAGAGGCTGGAGCAGCACCTCTGGCACGATTCTATTATATCGTACTTGTCCATGAGGCCCCCAGGTAACCTGGTCCCCGGGATAGAGTCCCTGGGTTGGAGATGCCATTACGTCATGCTGCCCCTCCATCCACATCAGCATGTGGTTCGAGCCTGAAGATGGAGTCTTCTGACCTGAGTAACTCATGAAAGCTCTGTTCGTGATTAACTGCTGGAACGCGTAGCGGTGTACTGTCTCGATTCCTGAATGGATCCATATCAGCAATGACGAACATGCAGGCCCCAGCACAGGTCCCGTTGCTCTACAGAGATTTTGTCCTGAGGGAAGACGAAGCCAGCGACGAAGAAAGCAGCTCATGGGATGCAACGACCGGCAGAAGGTCTGGCATGCCCCGCATGATGTACGGGACAGCATGGAAAAAGGAACAGACAGCCGATCTGGTGTACAAGGCCATCAAGGCCGGCTTTCGAGCTCTCGACACCGCTGCCCAGCCAAAACACTACAACGAGGCAGGCGTTGGGGAAGGCGTCCGGAGGGCCATTCGCGAGGGCATCGTCAGGCGCCAGGATCTGTGGGTGTGTCACCATGCGCCGCGATCAACGTGAATGGCCTAATTACTTCCTAGATTCAATCCAAGTTCACGTCTGCGTCCGGCCAACGCGGCCAAGCGCCATACGACCCGACCTCACCCCTTAAGACGCAAGTGGAAACGTCCATACTCAGTTCACTGGAGTGCTTTCGTGTGGACGAGGACCAAGGACCCTATCTCGATAGCCTTGTTCTTCACGCGCCATACAAGGATGACGCCTCCAACGCACAAGTCTGGTCGTGCTTTGAGGAATTCGTCCCCAACAGAATCCGTTACCTCGGCATTTCCAACCTCCTCAGTGATTCAGGGGTTCTGGAGGCTCTGTTGCAGCAGTCACGTGTGAAGCCAGCCGTCATCCAGAATAGGTTTCATGCCCCCACCAAGTACGAAGTAGAGCTCAGAGAGCGATGGTGCACCGATGCTCAAGGTGCCATCATCTTTCAGAGCTTTTGGACCCTGAGTGCCAACCAAGACATGCTGGCGAGCACAGCCGTTGAGGAAGTGGCCCAGGAGGCTCAAGTGACCAAAACGGCAGCTTTGTACTGCCTAGTGATAGGACTAGGGAAGGTATGCGTTCTCAACGGGACGACCCGTGAGCGCCACATGCGCGAAGACTTGGAAGGCTGGGAACAGGTGAGCAAATGGGCTGACGGAGAAGGCAAGGCTGCCTGGGAGCGAAGCTTGACGACTTTCAAGAGCATGATTGGGCAGGCGGATTGAACGGGGATTTCTCAATGATGCCTGTGGCGCTTAGTGTGGTAATCATCTCCCGTTTCTCTACGATATCAAGATGCGGGATACCTCGCCCGTCCAAGTGCACAAGCGACCAATCGCTGAACATGGACCCTTTGAAACGGAGAGACCCGTGATGAGGGTAATGTATCTTTCAAATACCTTTACACTTTGGGTTTACCTTTACGCTGTCTGTCGAGTCACCATCATCGAGACTTGGTTTTCTGTCTTAGCCTTGCCGCTACGAGGCCACTGGAGTGAACCCTCCGCCAGCACAAGGCAAAATTCATACAAAGAACTCTTTATCCTTTCCCAGAATTCAATGAACAGAATAAAGAAAAAGACGCAGCCTATTCGCCGTTCGCTATAAGAGCTTTTGTCACGTAGCATTGTCTAGAGGACGCCTTTGTTCCCTCCACACATATACACACAATCACCTACACCGGTATCGGCTGTATCAACCATCAGATCAGCCTGTACCGATACAACTCCAACCGAATTCCTTCATTTTTATGTATTCGGCTCACGTATCAAGCATCATCACCATGGCCAGCGTCTCGACTCTTCGTTCCGCCACTACGCCAGCTATCCGCGTCCCTGCTACCGATCTTCCCATCTGCAAGACCATTCTCTCCTACACTGTCAAGTGGCCCAATCATAAGGATGGCCGAGGCTGTATCATGGCATTTTTGGCCGATGGACGTCGTGCGAAGCTCATCTCCAAGCGTTACGGGGGTGTCCGCAAGCCACACGAAGCAGCCGTCGCAACCGCTGCCCCGTCCAAGATCAGGCTGAAGTTGACCCGAAAGACGGCCAAGGCGAACTAAGCGCTCTGGATTCCATCATCCGGCTTGAAAGTCGGCGGAGCGTTTTTGAGTTCACACATTTTGATACCCTGGGAGCAATCTGGACTCGACAGACAGCAGCTTGTCACTCCCGCAACGCACAGACGGACGACAATGCAAGAAAAGGAGAAAAGGTACAAAAACACATGCAAAAACAAAGAAAACAAAGAAACATTTTCACGTCTGATATTATACAGCAGCTCACATGGGCAACTGCTCATGTCTCAGCGTATTACTGATTTTGGATATGGTTGGGGTCTTGATTAACTGCCGTCTGACTGCATTCTACTACCCTTGGCAAAGGTATTCGCAACAATCAGTGGGAAGCAAGTTGTAGCCTCAACATGAACCTACACAACATGAGTTAGCAGTGCCCCCGCGTGAATTCGTGAATCGTAGCGTCTAGCTCACCTTGACATTGTCCGCACCGATTTTGATCTTGCCCCACGAGACGGCCTCATCGGGTCTCGCCCCCGCATCACTTCCATCAAACTCCTGACCCGTGTTGATGTACACGGCCGACTCGGCTCCATTGCGCATGAGACACGCATTGGCAATGTGGTGCTTCACCACGCCGCCGCCCAGGATAATCATGCCCGCCCGCTTGGCACGCACAGAGATGGTGTTGATCTTGCGAATGTCCTCCACGATGTCGATCTTGAGCTGCTGGGGCGAGGACTTGAACGTGTGGAAATATAGCATGTCGCCTAGACTGCCGTCCGTCAGGGCGGGACAGAAGACGGGGATGTCGTTCTTGTACGCCCAGTAGTACACCGATCGCTCGTCGTTGATCTCCTTACCGAGTCTGTGGATCACCTTAGATGGGGTCCAGTTGATCTCGTCGTCCATTCCCTTGCTGGCCTCTTGCTCCTCGAGCATCTTGTCCAGGATCGGCACCACCCAGTCCTCAAACGCGCAGTAGTTTGCGTTGGGCACCACGAGGTTGCCTATCCGGTTCAGCCCCTTCTTGCGGAGTTCGGAGCCCACAGCGCTGAAGGACGCGAGGTATGTATCGCCCAAACACTTGATGAAGTCCTCCTCAATGCCGCCCGCCGTCGTCACAATGGCGGAGACGTGCTCGTGCTCGACAAGCCACCGGAAGATACCTCGAAGGCCGGAGGAGATCATGTTGGATGTGTACCCGAGAAAAATGGTTGTCCCATCGCCCGTCTCTGGGTCTTTCCACTCCCGCTGCGACATGTCAGCGCTGAGGCAACACTTGACATCCGATCGAGATTCACTACCATTCCGTTGATGATCCTCACTGCTTCTCCTATCGAAGAGGCCTGGAATCCCATGTGTGACATGCCTTTGAGTAGGTCCTCGGCTGTGACTGGCCCAGTGAACTTGTTGAAGTCAAAGTCCTCGACCTGCTGCGTGCCCTCGGGCATCGCTTCCGACTGGACTAGCACGGCATCTTTGGCGCCGGATGGCGCTGCGCTGCCAAGCGAATCACTCATGTTTGGCTGATGCGCGAGTCTGTGCTACTGTAGTAAGAGTGAGTGAGAAATCGTCAATGGCGACCACGCAATGTTAGATTCCAGCAACCACGATGAGCAACACCAGAGAGGGCGAGGTTGTTTATGGCGTGGTGGCGAGTGCGTCAGTCAAGAGTTTGTCGACAGTTCTGCAGGAAACATGAAGGTGGTGCCACAGCCTCATGTAAGTCGAGTTTTCCCCTCGACTCACATCCAGTTTCAATTGAGGTTGTTGTGGAGATTTTGAGGGTCTCCAAATCTTCAACCACATTCGGACTAGCCTAGGACCTTCCACATCCCTGCGCAGCTTGCAGTGGCTCTTTCCCCTCCACAAGCCACACCTTGAAACGCTGCGCCATAGGAGACGCTGATTGGCGCACAGTACCCCATGTCCTGTCTACCGTGAACGGGGCCGTCCAATCGATTGGATTGGTCTTTCAAGATTGGGCTGAATGAAGCCTGCAGCAGGTGCATTGGAGTCTGGACGCCTGCCTCGATCTTGAATTCAAACCTCCAACCCTCCCCTTCAACGCATGCGAAACGCCGTGCACTCATTCTTCCACGTCCAGGCGACGAAAGCCGCGGATATTGAAGCAGGCTATTTGCTCAACTTAACGCCCTGTTCCTTTCCGTATCCCATATTTGCTCGCAAAATCGCGACGCACAGACACATTGCCGGGATATCGACAGCTGCACGAACCTCCAGAACGCGGCGACGATTCGCGGAATACGCGCAAAAAACGATATCGTCTCTTGAGCGACATTATTAGGGATCAGAATCATTAGATGAAATCGACACCATTCGCGTTAGTTCCTTCGCGACCTCGGGCCACATCTTATCATGTACGTGTTCTTCACGCCATGGACTACCACTACGCAAAGGCAGCGGGAATCGGAGACCGATTCTCGTGCAGCAGGTGGTACAGTGACGCTCTCAAAAGATTCTATCCCATTGACACTATATGCGCAGGGCCTCGAGATACTCGCGATACGATCCCGACAGGCGCTCCAGATCGCCCAGAGATCGTTCGCCGGGTCGCTTTGACCCAGACAGGCGCCGCCCACCCGCCGATGTAAGATCTATGGCGCCGGGCTTCCAGTCCGTGCGCGACGATTTTGGCGACCCGCCACGAAGAGAGCCACCTAGAGGGCCTCGAGCTCTTGTCGATCCCCCTAGTGGACCGCGCGGTGGATTTGGCGGCGATTTCAGAGGCGGCCGTGGCCGTGGTAGGGGATGGGCACCACGTGACGACAGCAGAGATCGTGGCAGGGACAGAGATCTAGATTTCCGGGATCGATATCGCGATGATCGGAACAGGGATCGTGACGGGCGCCCCTGGCCGCCACGAGACCGCGACCATCGGCCGCCGTATCCTCCACGTGCGCGATCGCCACTTGGGAGACCTCGCTCACCACCAGACTTCCGCGACAGAGATAGAGATGGCCCCCCTGGGCCCGATGCGGATAGGCCCCGACGCAACTCGCGAGACGGGCCGCCCTTTGTGGGCGCGTCACCTCCTTCGGACAAACCACACTTCGACATGCCTAGAGGCCGCGGCGGGTTCCGAGGCAGAGGTCGCGGGCGAGGCGACTGGGGCGCCGACCGTGGCCGTGGCCGAGCGCCTTTCGACGACCGAGGAGATCGATATATACGGAGCCGTTCACAAGAAGGCCGGCAATGGAACCGAGACCGTGAGGAGAGAGAGCGCATGGACAGGTTTGCCGACCCTGAACCGAGGCGCGACCCCCGAGATGATCGCGATCGAGGTCCTGGCCCTGCTCCTGCGCCTGAGCGTGAGTTGTTTCGCGCCAAAATGGAAGCTCGCGCCGCACCAGCTCCGGAGGGCCTACCGCAGTCTAGGGACGTGTCGCCTCCCCCGGTTGCGCCGTCCGCCCCAGCTTTCGGCTCGGTGCCCAATCGATCGGATGGACAAGGCGGACCTGGCAGCATGAGTAGACTCCCTCCGACTGGTCCAAGGGCTTTGAGTGACCGGCAAGGTCAGGAGCCTCCGAGCGGGCCCTCTAGGATGACAGATAACCAGGCTGTTCCCCCTTCGGGACCACGTCACCAAACACCCAAGCCGCAGCGATCTACGAGCCACCAATGGATCAACCCGAATTATAGGAAATCACCCCAAATGGCCAGAGCGCCAAGCTTTGCGCAGCCGCGTCCAGCGCATTCTCGACCGGAAAGCTCGCAGTATGATTATCCTTACTATGACGACAGGCGACCGCGGAGTAGCGATTCAAGGGGTGCCATGGACTCGTTTGATTGGGAGAGTCGCAGGCGGAGTCACAACAGTGTCGAGTCTGGCGAAATCATGAACCGTTCTGATGACGATAACCTTGAGAAGCCAGAGGCGCACCGCAGGCGCAGCATGCATGAGCCGCCTTCGAGATACCTACCGAGCACGTCGGACCGCAAACCTGAGCCGCCCAAAGAAACTATCGAGCCTCCCAAGCCCCGGAAGCAGGGTCGAGTCGGCTTGAAATCTGTTCGATTCGCCAGGCGACGAGAAGTAATACAACCCAAGGCCATGCCTGATCCGGACACGGATTCTGATGAGGAGGACTTGGGCGACTTTTTCAACCTTCAAATTGAGCAGACGGAGGCGGAACTTGGCAAGCTGAAGAAACCAGAGCTTCCATTGGAGGTGGTGGCTCGTTTTGCATCAACGTCTCACAGTGCCATGGTGAAGATTTTGAATGAGCCGCATGGCTTGGTGGATGTTCTAGGGGAGATGCCCAAAGAGGTCCCCAAGCCGAGTAATAACGAGGAGGCGTTGATCGCGCAATCCGCCAAACTATCGGTTGTTCCCAAGGAGGAAACGGCTGATGTGCTGATGGCGGATGCTCAGACCGAGCCACCAGCGAGACCGGAGGAGGAGGAACAGCAGGCAAGGCTGCAAGAGACAGACGTGCAGCCCAAGGCAACGATCGACGGTCCTGTTGAGTCTGATCTGATGCAGGTCGACAAGTCAACGCCCGCAAAGCCAACATCACCTGCTCTGGGCGACCAGCCAGCAGAAAAAACGGATTCGGAAGCGGCGTCGGCTCAAGAGGTCATCTTCGAGACCACGGAGGTGACGCCAGAACAGGCTGCCGCAGTGATCGAGGCCGAGTCTACGAAGATCGCTGCCGAGAAGACTCTTTCTACAGAAAAGAAGCCATGGGCTGGTCCCAATCAGGAGCACTCACCCAAAGTGCCCAGCACGCCGTCTCAAGTTGATGACGACGGCGACGATGAAGAAACTGAGACGGAGGAGGAGGAAGATGGCTACGTGGACATGGATGTCATGCGCGGCCACATGCTCACGCCTCCGCTGGAGGATCTGCCTCGTTTCGACGTCGAGCCATTCAATGGGCCAGAAGACCTGATGACATTGGACGACAACACCGACTTGAATGCTTACATTCTTCAGCACCTTGAAAAGGTTCACCTCGACAAGAATGCTGAGCAGGAGCATGCACGGGCACAGTACGCGGAGGCCTATCATGCATATCTCAAGTTCACCTTGTCTGATGATCCCGTTGCCATCAAGGTCCGTGACAAGCTTTCTGTTGCGGCGCCCAGCATAGAGATCGTCAATCCAGCTACACCGGAGCCAGCTAAACCTGAAGGCCGCAGCGCGCGGCGGTTCGGATCGGAGAGAGATCTGGAACTGGCGTTGCAGGCTTCTTTGCAGGAGCAGACTGAACGCGAAGAACGAGAAAAGAAGACGCGAAGCGGGAAGCATCGCGGTGACAAGGAAGCCGAGATTCCAGACATGTACTGGGGCGCTGAAGAGCAAATGAAGGAGCAATTCTTCGACACTTCAGGCTGGGTGCCGTCTAACCGCCTTGTATCTACATGGGAAGTGCTGCCCCCTACAAATAACTTCACGCCAGAGGAGGCAGAGCTTTTTGAGAAGAGATACCTTGAGCTGCCTAAGCAATGGGGCAAGGTGGCTGAAGTTGTGCCGAACCGTGACTTTGGTACTTGCATTCAGTACTACTATCTTAGGAAGAGGGACCTCAACCTCAAGGAGAAGCTGAGGCGCCAGCCCAAGAAGCGCAAGAAGGGACGAGGGAAGCAGAGGTCCAGCGCGCTCGTATCCGAGCTTGGCAATGGAGAGGGCGATGCGGACGACAATACCACTGAGACTGGAGAGAATGGCGAGACTCGACGTCGTCCACGCCGCGCGGCCGCGCCGACTTGGAATTTCGAGCAGCCAGCCATCTTACTGGATACTGAGTCGGCGACGCCAGTAACCACGCCTGGTGGCCGACGAGGAGCTTCGGCCGCAGGTAAATCGGACCAGCTTGACAAACCAGAAGGGCGGAAGAGAGGGCGAAAAACGGCCAAATCTTCGGAACCAAAGATTGCCAAACCTAATCCCACCCTGGCTGCCGCGCCTGGTCAGGGACAAACTCTGGCTCCTGGACCAGGGCGCGCGCGCGCGCGCTCTGATGTGAAAGGGCAGCCGCAGCCGCAGCAACCTGAACAACAAACACAGCTGCAGCAACAGAGGCAGCCGCCACAGGCCCAACAGCCATTCGAATTTCAGGGTGGCATACCAGGAGAGGTGCACCGCTTGCCCGCTCACTACGAGCAGCAACACCCCATTGGCATGCAACCACCATTCTCTATTAGTCAGCCCTCGATACAAGCACAGCAGCAACACCAACCACCGCAGCCGACGCAAACGCTCGATCGATCGCAACCTATGCCGACGACCTCGTCCATGGCAGAAGTCATCGCCGCCCCTTCACTGCGGCCCGAGCCCCCAGCATTGCAGCAGCCGAGCTTAGCTGGGCCCTTCACCAATGTGCTAACGCAGTCTGACCGCAAGAACCCGGCGCAAGCATCTAGCTACTGGAGCGTGTCAGAGTCGAATGATTTCCCGGGCAATCTACGTGCGTTTGGCTCAGACTGGACAGCCATCGCGGCCCACATGGGCTCCAAGACGGCAGTCATGGTAAGTTTTGACAGACACACGACCAAGACATAGGGCTATCTTTGTTGACCATCTTGCAGGTTAAAAACTATTACGTCCGCCAGAAGGAAGGTGGCAAGAATGAGTGGGAGAAGCTCGTTCGCGAGGCTGACAGTCAGCGAATGCGCGGAGAAAAGCGACCAGACCCACCGATACCTTCGACAAGCGGTCGTGGCAGGCGATATGACGGGTACGGGAACTCACGTCCGATAGCAGCAGCGCCTGGTGGAGGCATGGATCTCGCGCCTGAGGGCGTCGGACACCCCCTGGATGGCGGTCAACCGCAGCAGGTCAGGACTCAGTTTGGCGCGTACAGTGTTCCCATTGCACAGGCACCCGCTTCTCATCAGCAGCAGCAGCAACCGCAGCAGCCGCAACCACTGGCTCCAGGCGTGCCAAAATCCATGTCCATGCAGCCCCAGCCAAACGTCTCGCAGGCCATGTCTCCTACTAGCGGGCCACCACTTCGCGATCCTTCACAATACAACCTTGCAGAGAGAGAGCGTGAGATAGAGCGTGAGATAGAGCGCGAGCGGCACAGAGAACGGGAAATGGAACGAGCACAACAACGTGTGCCACTACCTGGCAAGTCCGTCGGTCCAATGGACACAGCTCGACGCGGGCTTCCAGGGCAACCGCTACAGTCGGGCAGAGTGGACGTGATGCCAGAACGCTCGCAGCAGATGGACATGCTGCATCACCAACAGCAGCTCCGAGAAAGGGAGCGTGAGAGGGAGCGCGAGCTCGAGCGCGAGCGCGAAAGAGAAGAGCAGCGAGACATGATGGCGAGGCAACCAGACAGACGTGGGGTCCCCGTCAAGGCCGAGCCTGACATGTCTCAACACGCGCCTCTCGACCCCTATAGCAGGATGGGTCACCAACATCGGCCCGAGCCGCCTCGACATGACCCCTTGTCGTTGTCTAGGCATGCTCAAGAGCCTCCTCGTCACGGGCCGCCTCCAGCATACTCCTCGGCGACTCACTCCGCGCCGCCTCCTCACCGCGGCTTACTGGGTGATCAGTCCAGTATACGATCGCCGCCTCCAATGGGACACGCAAACGGGCCCCCAACCTCACGACCCATGTCGGCGCTCCAGCACCGGCACTCGTCCAGCTCGGCACCAGATGTCTACGGCCAGCCTCCGCCTCAAGCCTCGACGCCTGTTCCGGCTGCCGCGGCGGCCAGGGCACCTGAACCTCGCAAGTCGACTATCATGTCCCTTCTCAATGATGACAACGATGCACCGACCCCGTCCAAGCGCGTCAGCGATCTTGCCGGCCCTGGGCAATCGTCCACCCCCCCCCCTCAAGGTGTGGGCCGCTCACCCGCGGCGTCTCAACCCCCGCAGCACTTGCGTCGCGACTCTGGCCCGTATTCGCCCTTTGGTCGTCCACCTTCGACCTCGGCACCGGGCATGCCATCCCTGAAGCCAACGTACAGCGGCCCTCCCAGTCAGCCGTCCAGATCAGCTTTGAGTATGTCCGTGGACCCACCCCAGACAGAGAGGGACTACTTCCGACAGCAGCAAGGATACCACCCAAGCAGCGCCAACGAGTCCCCACAGGCGACGCCTCTCCAGTATGGCGCTCAAGGGAGAGGACAAGGTCCCCCGGGCTATCCGACATCGTTCGGCGGCGGCGGCGGTGGTGGTGGTGGTGTCTCGCAAACTCCCACTGCGTCTTCGCCGCCACCACAGTATCCCATGCACGCGGTTTCACGCTCCCGTGACATGGGCCACGGCGGGCGCGAGCAATGGCAGCATCATCAAGGAAGTCAACCACCTCCTCAGCATGGCGGGTGGGTGAGAGAGCCACCCAAATCCTCTCAGCCACCTCATCAAGCACAAGCGTGGGCAGGCCATCCAGGCCCCGGGACTCCCAAGGCCAGTTCATCTTCAGGTATGTGGCCTGCTCCACCGCCGCCACAACAACAACAACAACAGCAGCAGCAGCAGCAGCAGCAGCCGCCGCATGCTCACCAGGGGATGCGTGACGAAAGGGGACCACTTATGTATGGTTCGCAACAGCAGCAGCAGCAAGCTCCGCCCTCTCAACACCAGATGCAAGGACGCTATGGCCCACCTCCCAATAGAGGGCTTGACCCCGTCCCGTCCCCCGCTCAAGCATATGCTCGATACGCTTCGACACCAGGACCTAGGCCCGGTCCCGGGCCGCCGCCTCGAGATCCCAGAGACATGCCTGGACGAAGCTACACGCCAGTATCATACGACGGTCGGGGGCACCCACCACTGCAGGGCTACCAGGGTGACATGCAAATGCGAGACCCTAGGGAGCAGCCGCCACCGCAGTCCCGCGATCCTAGGGATATGATGGGCAGGGGTCTGCGACCGCCGCCTTCAGAGTACGATAGGCATCCCGACACTTATGGGAGATAGAAACCCCTTCCGGAAGAAGATGAGGAGAGTTGCGGAATGGGAACCGATACAAGTTGTCGACCATGGTCCTTGTATGTGCCCCATGCCAGGGCGAATTTTGGAAGGAAGCGAGTTCGCCGTTCTAAGGCTTGATGCGAGGGCAAGCAATGAGCTCATACGCTCTCATTGCCGTCAAGTTTGTGTGGAACGATTGTACATTGGCAACATGTTAGGCTACCATTAGAGGTGTACGTGCAGATGTGCGAGCGGCGTCAGGAGTGCTTGGCCAGTGTTAGCATTACAACGGGAATCAAGTGAAAGTTCATCATGCTCTTCCATGTACGCGGCAATGGCGGAATACTCGTCTATTTCTAAAATAAAATACAGCCTGGTCAGAGGCAAAGTGTGCCAGCGAGGGTGGAACCATTACTTGAGGAAGTGTCTCGCCGCCTAGAACAAGAACCATCCTGACAGGGCAGCAACGCCGACAGCGCGGCCCATGCCCCGTCCGAACGCTGGCGCCGCGCCCGGTGTCTCCGAGGGCGCCTCGGCCCCCCTCGAGATCAAAGGTGAACGGGAGGCCAAAGAGGTCGCAGTTGTGTGACGTCCCCTCTAGAGCATCTGCATGAAGGCCATCATCTTGTGAGTAAAGACACATCACATCGTCCCAGCATGAGAATTCCCAGACAGACAGAGAAGGGACAGAAAAGAAAGACCTCACATTTCCAACAGTCGTTGTCACATTCCTTGGCCACGCAGCAGAGGTACGCCTCGCGCTTCTCCTGGTTGTTGCACTGGCAGGCTGGGTCCTTGACACAGTAGCCTTCCGGTCAGGCGACGAAGAGGCAACTTTTCTTTGGAGAGTGCGTCAGTAAACTCTGGATCCCGTTTCATCTATGGCAACGTACATCGCAGCTCACAAGGCGGTTTTGCTCTTCCGTATCCTCCTGGGTAGGTCGACCGGTCGGATTGGGATTCCACTAGGCGAGCGTCGAGGCGACCTGTCCAGTCGCCTATTCGCACTCTGTAATTCATGAGAGATGAGGTTTTTAAAGTACTGCAGCACGAAATAATGAGTATCGCATCGTACCTAGTAGTCACTCCGTGGGTGGCCGTAGGTTCTGTCCATCGGATTGGTGGGGCTACTTCCAGTTGCCAAAGTCACCCACTCGACGCGTCCAGAGTCAGACGCGGCTTTCACTCATTTGCACGTGCCACTCATACACTCAGTACCTACTACTACCTGTACTGCCAGCAGATGATGGAGCCAAGGGAAAAGACGTACTTTGAGCTTCAGCGTGAAGCCCTTCTCTCGGAGATCGCTGTCGTACGTTCAACCACCATCTGCTATACTCATCTAACCCCCGACTCGCAGAGCTTCGAACATGTCCTGGCCAACATCAACAGGCTCAATCGCTCTCTCGAGTCAGTAATCACTGTTGGCAACGAGTTCTCCTCCGTCGAGGCTCTTTGGTCTCAATTTGAGAATGTCATGGCGAAAGACGACAAGGGGGATGCCCAGCAGCAGCAGCAGCAGCGCAAGGATGAGGGGCATGCGGAAGAGGATGTCATAGACGGAAAATAACGACAAGCACCCAGAGTCATGAATCTTCTTGAGTACCATGACCCTTTACGAAAGCTTACGAAAGCTTACGAAGTCTGCGAAAGTCACAGGGAGACTGCTAGTAGCAACAAGTTGTGAAATACGCAATAATATCATTTGTTCCCTGCCCCTCCTTATCCCAGAACAAGGAAGAATTGTGCTGCTGCTACAAAAGAAATGTCGCAAAACATATGTATCCATCGGCGCTTGATTCCATACACATTCGTCGCCGCGCCTTGCCTTGCCTTGCCGTGTCTGTTGTTTCTCCCATCATCTCACAAACCATTGATTGCCCTTATATACCAACTCCCTATTTCCCTGAGATGCGCCCGCAACCTGCAATGCACCGCCGCTGACGCCCCGCGCGTGCGGCGCAACGGAGCCAAGCAGCCCAGCTTGAGCGCAAAGAAGAAAACACAGAAAGATCATGCATTCGTCATTACAAGTGTGTATCGTTCCTCGCCCACCACCACATCTTCCTGGTCGAAGCCAGGACGCCCGAAAATGGCCCTCTCAAAGAATGCGGCACTTTGCCTTCTTCTTCCTCTTAGGTATCCCTACGCCAGGCATCGACGTCCGCGAGCCGTTGCTACCGTCCTTGGAAGTAGGTCCCGCGGACGACTCGAGGTTCTTGCGGTCATTGGCGACGACGGTGAGGATCGCCCGGCTGAAGATGTCGTCGACGCCAACCATCTCCTTGCTGCTGCATTCCATGTATTGGGCGTCCATCTTCTGGGCCACATTCATGCCTTGCTCCGTTGTGACGGGCGTCAGGCCTTGGGTCTTGAGCATGTCTATGCACGTCCTCTTGTAGCGGAGGTCTGACTTGAGACCCACGAGGATGAGGGGTGTATACGGGCAGAAATGCAGTACTTCAGGGTACCACTGCGCGGGTCAGCTTGGATCTTGCCAACATGTATCAATTCCCTTACCTTGTCCAGTACGTTGTCCAGCGAGTTTGGGCAGTCAATGGCGAAGCAGACAAAGATAAGATCGGTCTCGGGGTAGGAGAGTGGCCTCAGGCGGTCGTACTCTTCTTGTCCGGCCGTGTCCCATAATGCTAGCTCGATTGTCTTACCAGTGGGCGGATGCACTGGGTAGGTGATGTAGTTTTCAAAGACTGTCGGCACGTATTTCTGGATTGCCGTTAGCATTGGCTCGCATGCCGTGCTCCAAGGTTGAATGCGCCTACCTCTGGGAAGTACCCCTGACTGTAGCTAATCAGCAAGCACGTCTTGCCGCAACCGCCATCACCAACGACAACAATCTTCTTCGAGAACGTCGGCGGCTCCGTGGCTTGCGTTGCTTGCGACTCGCGGCCGCTCGATGTGCTGATGGATGTGCTGACGGTGCCTTCGCTGTCGCGCGTGCGCTGGTCTCGACGGGGTTGCTCGCGACTGCCCGTCGACTGCCCGTATTGGGAGCTGCGATACTGATAAGATGACATGGCTTTCTTGCAAGGCTAGGGCCCGCGATCGATGCTAGCGAATGAATGTCTCGGAAGCAGAGCTGGAGCAAAAAGGCTGCGCGATGTTGGTCCGTCCGCGAGAACGACTGGTGGAGTGACTGGTCCTGGATGTGGTGTATGCGCTTTGTCCACCACCTTGTTGAACGCTAGGGCAGTTGATGCGCCAGAGACCAATGGAAGGGTATTGCTGCGAAAAAAAGGCTGTCGCGCTGTGAATGCAGTGATCAATGTGTGATGAGCGAAAAGGGGCTCAAAAGACCAGTAGCGTACGGGTTGATGGTGCGATGGAATGCGTGGCGGTTGGAATGGAAGGAAAGATGGGAGATGGGGTTTAAGATGGGCAAGAGCGAGATCGAAGATGCCTTTCAAAGCCAAGTGTGGTGCCGTGGGGTTGCAGCTCCAAATCAAGTAAACACGGACCTGGTTGGCATGGTGATGAAACGCAAGCGCCCGGGGGGCAGCCCACTGGCTGCAAGGAAGGAAAGGGCCCGTGCGCTATCGGCTCCACTCTTTGCCAATCGCCAAAACTCGATTTTTGTTCCTGGTGCAAAGGAAGCTCTACTCCTCATCGACCTGCACCAACTTTTCCCCAGGCGCCCACCAACTATTCATTTCGGGCCGGCGCACAAGCTCCAAGTAGCCTTCTGATATCATCGATGGACTGAGTACACCCAGGTGTGCAGCAGAGCAGTCCAAGTGGTCCGGCATCATCAGCCTGCGCTGTCGCCCAAAACGCACCTCTCACGGACGATTCAGAGCCTCCAATTCTTGGCGCATCACCAAGCATCTCTCACCACTCCGAGTATAAAATGGCTTCGGGCGAGCCTAGCAAGTATGTGACACTCGTCTCTGGTGACGGATTCGAGTTTGTCGTGCTTCGCGAGGCCACAAAAGTCAGTCCCATTATCAGCGGCATGATTGATCCACGCAGTGGGTTTGCCGAGGCCAGAGATGCCCGCTGTGTGTTCCAAGAGATAAGGTCAGCCAGCGCACGCCAGCCCCTTCCCGACACTGCTTGTCCCTCGATCCCCAGACAGATGATGAACAATAATTTCGCTGTGTTCTTCCTGACGAAACCCGGCTCTCTTTTTCCGTGCGTTTCGGTTGATTACACACTACACTTGAACTGATATCTTCCTTTAACCCCCCCCTGATCATTCCATCTCGGCGGTGATTTTCAAGGAACCGTGGCTGACCCTTCACGCAGTTCCCCTGTGCTTGACAAAGTTGTCGAATACTTCCATTATTGGTACCAATACCGGGACAATGACGATGTTCCGGACATGGACATTCCCGTAGAGATTTGCCTCGAACTCCTCGCCGCTGCCGACTACCTTGGGCTCGACCAGTAAGTGGCGTCGCGAACAGCGTGCATCTCTGCTCAAGACGCTGACAACTCACAGAGCCACCATGAACACGAGGCAATGGTCTTGAGGCACGTACTGCTCATTCGTTTTTCGTAGAGAGGGTATTCCAAGACTGTTTTGTACACAGTCGCCCCCCATATTAAGTGACACCGGATATCAGCCAAGAGCACCCATTTCAGCATATACGTTCTGCTCCTCACACTCCCGTGGGTTGAACGCCTATTAGAGATGGAAGATGAACGCACTCTGTGCGGCACCCTCTCACTCTGCGTAGCTCAGTTGACGCATTGAGTTTTCGCTTTTTTTGCAGGGGTACATCCTCCAACACGATGCAAGCCTTGCACGAACTTGGAAGACATGAATAGTTGATTCTCATGAGGAATAAGAGTAATAAAGATGCACTCTGCGAACGTCCTTCAAGTCCTTGTCAACTGCGTGTGATGTCAGTTTTATTAAGCTCTTGTGGAGTATGGGCGCATCCAGTAAAAGGCAGTACTCGGTGTGACTCGCAGGTACTGCGACAAGTGCGCAAAAGCGAGACTAGTCAAAGGCGCGGCTTAGCAGTATTCAAGTAAATAACACGATCATTGACTGTGCACTTGCATTCATGGTGATTTCAATCTGATCAGAGGGCCCCCTTTTACAACGGCGCAAGATGTGACGCAAAGTGCGAGGGCGGTCGCGCGTGCCACTTCTCTTGCACTTTGGAGAAGTGAGTAGTCAAAGAACTTCCAAATGAACTCTCACGCCTCGACCCATCCCTCACACCGTACCTGAACCTATCCCGCCACTGACGCATTTTCGACAATGGCTGCCCATGTTACAGAGACAAAGGGCGTCAGAGTCGCTGTGGAGGGCTGTGTATGCAAAGTCCAGCATTTCCTCGTTGATCGTGGGTTTACTGACACGGCGTAGGGCCATGGCACGCTGGATGCCATCTACGCCAGCATTGATACCGCCTGCAAGGAGCGAGGCTGGGATGGTGTCGACCTCCTCATAATTGGTGGCGACTTTCAGGTACGTACGCTTCCGGGCTCTGTCGTGTCTCAAGCTGACGGCATATCAGGCCATGCGCAATGCTGCAGACCTCTCCGTCATGGCGTGTCCGGTGAAGTACCGAGAGTTGGGCGACTTCCCAAAGTACTATTCTGGCGAGGCTCGTGCTCCGTATCTGACCATATTCATTGGCGGTAATCACGAGGCCAGCGCTCATCTGTGGGAGCTATTCTACGGCGGCTGGGTGGCGCCCAACATTTACTACATGGGCGCCGCCAACGTCTTACGGCTTGGGCCGATCCGCATCGCCGGCATGTCTGGGATATGGAAAGGTCACGACTACCAGAAACCTCACTTTGAGCGACTGCCGTTCAACGATGACGAAGTCCGCTCATTTTACCACGTGAGGGAGATTGACGTCCGCAAGTTGTTGCAGATTCGGACGCAGGTCGATGTCGGTTTGAGCCACGACTGGCCCAGGGCCATTGAGTCGCACGGGGATTCTAGGTGGCTGTTTAACAAGAAGCCCTTCTTCAAGCAAGAATCCATCGACGGCACTTTGGGGAACATGGCTGCGAAATATGTCATGGATCGGCTGAGGCCGCCGTTCTGGTTTTCTGCACACATGCACACTGGCTTCCCGGCGCTCAAGAGATACAACAATGAGCTGCAACGAGAGGTCAAACAGCCTGAGCCAGATAGTGAAGAAATCCCGGAGGCACCAGTGGAAGCGGAGGCCAACCCAGATGAGATTGACCTTGACATGGATGACGACGACGGCAGCGATGAGCCCAGTGTCAAATCGACAACCGCTGAGAATGATGGGAAACCCCAAGATGAGAAGAAACCGACCGAAGAATCAAGTGAGACACAGAAGAGCGAAGTTCCGGATGATCTCAGGGCGCAGCTTCCCGCATCTTTCGCAAAACCGACGCCAAAGCCAAGAACAACGCCTGGACAGCCTGTTCCTGACACCATCCCCAACCAGGAGGTTCGCTTCATGGCACTAGACAAGTGTCTTCCGGGGAGACGTTTCCTACAGCTGTGTGACGTTGAGCCGCATGATAAGCACAATTCTCTGAGGGTTGAGTCTCACACCGAGCAGCCCAGATATCGCTTGCAATACGACCCCGAGTGGCTTGCTATCACTCGTGTTTTCCACAAAGACCTGCGCATTGGCGATCCAGCAGCACAAACACCAGCAGACCAAGGCGAGGAGTACTATCTTCCTCTCATCGAAGCAGAACGCAAATGGGTCGAGGAGAACATTGTGGCACAGGGCAAGCTCGATGTCCCAGAGAACTTTGCGATTACGGCACCTCCACATCAACACGGCCAGCCCGAGATCGTGCAGGAGCAACCCGAAGAATACACCAACCCCCAGACAGTCGCATTCTGTAGTTTGTTAGGCTTGGACAACCTGTGGGATGCGGGCCAGGAGGAGAGGGGCGAACGGAGGGCCCAAGGCCCAAGGAAGGCAGCGTTCAGAGGCGGCAGAGGGGGGCGAGGCGGTGGTCGCGGCGGTGGCAGAGGTGGAAGAGGGAGAGGTGGGAGAGGCAGGGCAGGTGGGCGAGGGCGGAGGTAATGGCAATCGCATCAACATTTGCCAATGTTGACGGATTGCACTCCTAAGGTAGATAGATACCTGAAGTGCGCACACCGAGTCTAGTGATGCTGTTGTAGGGTAATGCGTTCCACTAGCTTGAGCCCCCAGCAACCGGGGTACGACGTACACGTTAGCTGGCTCGATTAGGCAATAGAGTAAACAGTGATCGCAAACCGACGCCACGTTGTGCCAAGCTCCATTCTACATCGACAATCTTCGTTGCATCATCGGTTTCGCTCCTTTCTGTCGCGCAGCTTCCCTTCGTCCTCTTCGGCCGTTTTCTCGTTTTGAAGCGCTGGTACGGTCTCACACGCTGCGCGCTTGACCCAGCCCAGAGAGGTCCGTTTCAACCAAAGCATTCTGGTCTCATCACCCCGCTAACCATTGGAATGCAGCTGCTCGACACCTCGAACACCTTTGACGTTGCTATATTACCTCGACCGAGACCAAGATGGCACATCAGTTTCTCACGACCGTGTTCGTCTTTCTCCCCCTCTTCGCGCCCCGTCCAAGCTGCCCAAGATGATGTCTGCGTTCCGCTACCTGAGCCCCCAGTCGCTTGCGACGATGGCCAGCATCGAGAATACCATCATCCCCGTCTACAATGACCCTCCATCTCCTCTTCCTCCCGTTCCAGACGCTCCGCCAACTCACCACGTACCAAAGGGCATGGTTACTAACACGAGGTCTGTGTCCGACAGCAACCAGCGCACAAAGAACCAGTTCCGACCCAGGCTGGGCAAGGGCGGTGCCACGAGCTATCAGCTCAGACAGTATGCCGAAGTCACGCTGGGCGGTGGAAGCTTGAGGAAGGTGGTCAAGCTTCCCGAGGGCGAGGACGAGAACGAGTGGCTGGCGGTCAACAGTAAGTTCCTGCTGTGGGCACGACTGGACTTGGGCCGATGACTGACTCGTCACGCAGTGGTCGACTTCTACAACCAGATCAATCTGCTCTACGGCGCCATTACAGAGTTCTGCTCCCCACAATCGTGCCCAGAGATGAAGGCGACGGACGAGTAAGCGGCCTGGAGAAACCACATGTCCGGCACGCACTGACAGTGTCCTAGGTTTGAGTATCTGTGGCAAGACAGCCAGGATTACAAGAGGCCCACCAAGATGCCTGCGCCAGCCTACATTGAACAGCTCATGAGCTGGGTGCAGGCCAACATTGATAACGAGCAGGTCCTTCCCAGCAAGATCGGCGTCCCCTTCCCCAAGTCGTTCCCTACGCTTGTCCGTCAGATCTTCAAGCGCATGTATCGCATCTATGCGCACATTTACTGCCATCACTACCCCGTCATCCGTGAACTGGGACTCGAGCCGCATTTGAACACGAGCTTCAAGCAGTACGTGCTATTCATCGACGAGCACAGCCTGGCAAGTGGGCGGGACTACTGGGGCCCTCTGGGTGATTTGGTGGACAGCATGCTCAAGAGCGATTGAGCTCGCTCGCTCGTTGTTGGGCTCATTGATGTGACTTATCTGTGATTTTGTCGCTGGCGTTCAGGAATTGGGACAGCAGGGGGAATAGTGGCATCGCTGGCTGGCGGGAGGCAATAGAGGCGAAGGCGCAAGGATTACCGTACAACTACACTGGCAGCAATAAAGTCTGAACAGATACCGACTAAAATAGAGTCAGGCTGCAGTTTCTTTCATTTCTCTGTAATTCATTCATGAGACACCAAACATTCATGTCCCTGAGCCCTCCCGGCACCATCGGAACAATGAGGAACGCGGCATTAGGTAAGCATGGTGGATGCCTCATCGCGGCTCCGCCCGTCAGGCAACAAGATCCAAAATTGCCGGACAACCTCATCGTGCACCTACCTCAATTGAAGCCGCCGAACCATCACCCACCTCTCGTCCCTTTGCCCAACGACCGAACCTCCGGCCAATTCCAGCACCGCCTCTCGCCGATCACGACGACCATGTTCTCGCGCCAGGCCATTCGCTCCGTCCGGGCTGCTGCCCCCCAGCGCGCCCTGGCCGTCCGCTCGACGCCCGTCCGGTCCTTCGCCGCCGCCGCTGCCAACGACGGCAAGCCTCCTATCTCTGTGTTCGGCCTCGACGGCACCTACGCCTCTGCTCTGGTACGATGCCCACAGATTTGCTTGGATTTGCGCAAGAGCCGAGGAGAAATAGGCGCGGAATTGCCAAATGGCCAGACAAGTAGCTAATGCGTCAATTCGCAGTACACGGCCGCCGCCAAGTCCTCCAGCCTCGAGCCCACTGCCAAGGCCATCGCCAGCCTGCACAACCTCATTCAGAAGGACACCAAGCTCACTGCCATCCTCAGCGCTCCCACCCTGAGCAACGACGACAAGGCCGCCGTCATCGCTGAGCTCGCCAAGCAGTCTGGCGCCAGCTCCAACGAGACCGTCAAGAACTTCCTCGACGCCCTCGCCGAGAACAACCGTCTGGGCCTCCTGGGCGGCGTCTGCGAGAAGTTCGACACCATCGTCGCCGCCGCGAGGGGCGAGGTCGAGATGAGGGTCACCAGCGCTCAGGTGAGTTTCTAAGTTTTGGGATATGAATCTGTCGACCTGAAAGAGGTCACCCCCCGAACCGATGCTGATTCAAACGTAATAGAACCTCGACAACAAGACCCTCTCGAGGCTCGAGGCTGCCGTCTCCAAGTCTTCTTACGTCGGTGCCGGCAAGAAGCTCAAGGTCACCAACGAGGTATGTCTAGTCAGAGAAAAGAGAAAGCCCATACTGACGCGCGCAGGTCAACCCCGATATCGTCGGTGGACTCATCGTCGAGGTTGGCGACCGCACCATTGATCTTTCCGTCTCCTCGCGTATCGCCAAGATGAACAAGCTCCTCACCGACAGCCTGTAAATTATATCGAGATCCTCTCGATCACTCACATAATCACCGCACCCTCCCATCGTGGTCCTTGGCTGGACACACGATATGAAAGCCTTACCTTTCCCTTTGTTTTGGTCGGGAGGAAGAAGCGCCTTAGTCCACAGACTGTGCGCACTTGTGTAGAAAGCCTGTCCTTAGGGTCGTTGTGGGAATAGATGCTCTGCTTCAAACCTTTGCGCTACATCTCAGATGCTCATGTGACCATGCGATAATTTCGTTTTCTCAAATCTATGGCCACTACATACGACGATAAATTAATAGCCATCATCCCTATCCACGTGCTTTCCAACTTCGTTCCATTGTTAACGCCAAGATATGCCAGTATATAGGGTCAAGTTCCGAGGCTAGTCCATCTGCCATGTCGACTTTCCACTACGATTATGCCTTTGTCTCGAGGTCATCGCCAGTCAAGTCGTAGCCCTTCGAATTACCACGCTCCATGTAATGGTTCAATTGGTCAGACACGTAGCGGTGCATGTGCGAGTCCGCCTCCTCCTTTTCGCGGACTCTTTCCGGATCATCACTGGGGAAGATAGACGCCGTTGTGGAGCGGACGTCTTCATCATCGTTGACAGAGTCATCAAAGTCGCTGCGGGCGCCGATCGACCTTGCCGTCGACGACCGACGGATATGGCGCATGCCCTTCTTAGGCGTGCCGTTGCTGAGACTCCGGTGGAGAATGTCATCGAAGTAGTGGGACATCGCAACAGAGGGGGTGCGAGGGGTCTGAGGCAGACGACAGTTGAATCTAGAGCCCGTCAGTAAAGAACACAATATCAAGGATGAAATCCAAGCATACCCAGTATCGTGGATCAGACGCGCGATCAGGCCCGTCCAACCGCACTGATGAGTAGAACCAAGACCACGACCGGAGTCACCATCAAAGAATTCATGGAACCACAGGTTATCCTTCCAGTGCTCATCAAAGTCGAGACGATCGTCACCGGCATTGATGCTGCGACGTCCGTCATCTTTTCTCACAAACAAATGTTGCAGGCGATGCTGGATCTCCTCAGCAACCTTGCCTAAGTGCATGTAGTCGCCACTCCCTGTCGGGCATTCGACCTGGAACTCGTGTCCGTAGAAGAGGAAAAATCTCTGCAGGGACTCGACAAGTAGGAAGTTGACACAGAGCCAGATAGGTCCTCTCCAGTTGCTGTTGCCGCCGAACAAGCCGCTCAGGGAGTCACCAGGCACATACCCGACTTCGAACTTTTGGCCATTAACATCCATGGAGAAAGGGTGTTCCTTGTGGTACTTGGAGAGCGATCGAATGCCGTGCTCACTGAAGAACTCGTCCTCATCAAGCATCCTCTTAAGAATCTTTTCGAGGCGGTCCTTGCTCACAATCGACAGAAGAATACGATCACCCTTGCCACGCTTGGCGATACTTGCCATGTTCCTCTCAGCCATGTCATTGCGGTTCTTGACGAACCACTCGACACGCTTCTTGAACGACGGAAGCTTGTTCATAAGCTCCGGCTCGAGAGTGGCAGTGGCGTACAGTGGGATGAGGCCCACCAGCGAGCGGACGGGCAGTTGCTTCATCCAGGGCCCGCCCCAAGAGATTGCATCATAGTAAAAGCCGTCATCTTCATTCCACAAGGACTGCTCGTCCTTGGAGCCCATGCGGAAGGTCATGGCATCGCTAATGAAGATGAAGTGCTCGAAGAACTTGGACGCAATATCCTCGTACGTCCGGCGGTGCTTGGCCAGCTCGAGAGCAATGTTGAGCATGGAGAGACAGTAGAAAGCCATCCAGCCCGTGCTGTCAGCTTGCTCGAGAACACCCCCAGTGGGCAACGGCTCTGAACGGTTGAACAAGCCGATGTTGTCCAAACCGAGGAAACCACCCTCAAAGACATTCTTGCCGTCGGCGTCCTTACGGTTGACCCACCAGGTGAAGTTGAGAAGCAGCTTCTGGAACACGCGCTCCAAGAAGTCTATGTCTTGGCGGCCATACATCTTGCGCTCGATCTTGAATGTCCTGAACGTGGCCCAGGCATGGACGGGCGGGTTTACATCACCGAAGTTCCATTCGTACCTTATTTGATCAGCATTGGCACATAAGGAGTTGCGACAGGACTTACGCTGGCAGCTGTCCATTGGGATGGCAGTACCATTCCCTTGTGAATAGATCGAGCTGCTTCTTAGCAAAGTCTGGGTCCATCATCGCAAGAGGAATGCAGTGAAAAGCGCTATCCCAGGCAGCAAAGAAGGGGTATTCCCACGAGTCTGGCATCGATAGAATATCGTCACAATGCATGTGCTTCCACTGCGAGTTGCGAACGTTCTTTCGACTGTCAGGGGGCGGGGGCATTGCAGGGTCGCCGTTCGCCCATTGGTCCCAGATGAACAAATAATGCTGTTTCGTCCACATCATTCCAGAGAAAGCCTGCCTTTGGATGTTTCGCATGTCATCGGAGATGGGCAGCGGGCTGAGCCTGTAGTAGAAGTCATCGGCCTCTTCTCTCCGGCGTTCTATGATCTCGTCAAAAAGCTCCTCGTCGACGTAAGTCTGGTCTTTCTGCGAAAACCGGAAGCGAACAACCGCACATTCGCCAGGATTGACACCGCCGTCCTCGTTGAAGTTGAACCAAGCAGCACATTTGGTACCCTTCTGGGCCGGGTTGATAGCGTCCTTCTCTCCGTCCACGATGTACCGGTGAAACGCATCCTTCACATATGGTTGAGCATTCTTCTGGCCGTAAAGACTGTCAAAGTTGGTGTCGTTCTCGGTGAACATCATCTTTGGAAGAACATCATCGCCACTGGATCCTACACCAGGCGAAGGGGAGCAGTTAAAGTACCTGTTACCCAGATAGTGATGCTGTGATTTTGCGCCAGCCTCTTCGTTGATTTCGATCGAAGGCTTCATATCCTCGGGCTCTCTACCCCAACTCCAGGTGTTACGGAACCACACATGAGGGATGATGTGGAGCGGTGCAGGATCTGGACCTCTGTTCCATGCTGTCACACGGAACAGGAGCTCTTCGGCATCGTCTGTCTCCTTCGCGGTCTCGATATAGATATCCCAGTAGCGGTCTTCGTCAAACACGCCAGTATCTGTGATCTGGTATTCTTTCTCTTCTCTGGAGCGCCGGCCGTTCTCTTCGATCAGGTCTTCGTAGGGGAACTTCTTCTGGGGGTATTTGTACAGGAGTTTCATGTAAGAGTGCTGTAGCCGGTATTAGTGATCTGCGGGCCCGGTTCTTCTATTTCTTTGCTTACTGTCTAATGGCATGTTAGTGACTCAACTATCAAGCCTACCCAGGTGTCAGAGGTACTCACAGGGGTATTGTCCACATGGAAATGGGCCTCCTTGACACTTTCGCCGTGGTTTCCCTGAGGATTTGACAGGCCAAACAACCGTTCCTTTAGGAAGTCACTAGCATAGGTCAGTCGCAGCTTGGCAACAGCTTGATCGACCCCGCATACTCTTCCTCGTTCCAGAAAGTGAAGCCAATGTTTTGGTAGCCATGTGTGTCGCAGACACCAGCAATACCGTCTTCGCCCCATCGGAATGCTCGAGAGCGCGCGTGGGCGTGCGGGAAATCTATTGAACGGTCAGACGGCTTCCTCACAGCGGTGATAACTCTCTACGCACGACTCCAGGCGTCGCCATCCGGACTGTAATCCTCGCGTACTGGCACAATTAGTCAAGGAGTCCCTCGCGGCATGACACGTGCTTCTCACCCGTGGCCCATTGGCGCTCAGAGACGTACGGTCCCCATTTCTTCCAATACTTCTCACGGTTACGATCCTCCTTGAGGCGCTTCTCTTCCTCAGTGAGGTACTCGTGGCCGTCGAAAACAACCATAGCTGATAGATGGGGGCACGAGGAACAGACGTGCACGGAAAATGGTATGATGGAGAGGAGAAGCTAGGGAACCAGTCTACAGGGAAAACAGCTCACGCAGGCAAGTCACGGTATCTGGGCGTTATCGAGAAACTGGGACGGGTGGGATCAATCACATGGAGGGGCGGCCGTTGGCTCCTTCCGGACTGCACCACCGGGAGGGGAGCTGCAAGGGCACGCGCGAACGGAGGCCTGCAAATCTCTGCAGCAAAAGAGGGAGGGCACGCAGTCAGTCCGCACGATCTGTCAGTAAATTGGTCAGAACCAGGCGGTAAGGCAATGTGCTGGTGGTACCGCAACTCGAGAACGGCTGGCCATCGACGATGGCGCTTTTTTCTGATCATCGGCATGCCAAACCTCCATCAGAGACTCGTGTCGATTACCCCACTACACCATCTCCGAGTCGGATTACCTCAGTGAGACTACCCGTTTGCTCGGCCCTGTGCAGCCACGATAGCACTAACAGCAGTCGCACTATTGACAAGGACTTTGCAGGAGTTAAAAGTGCTAAGCCAGAGGCATGGACTCACAGGCTCCCAATAGTAACTTTATCATCTGCCACATCCACTACTAACATAGGTCGGGGCAGCTTGTCCCGCCAGTGGACTTTGCTCGTAGTCAACATGCGATGACATCATTTGAGGAAGAAAAGGCCTGTCTGGGCTCTGGACCAGTCCTAAGGGGCCCGTGCCTGGCGTCGAAATGTCAAGGCAGGGGAATGGCGTTGATAACATCAATGAAGGCACGAACAGATTCCATTGGCTGGTCGATATCCAGAATATTGCAGTTGTTTCCTCTGAAAGCAGTGATCATCGTCGATCACGTTCATAATTACTCTCCTGCTCTTTGAAAGCGCGGGGACTTGCCATTCCATGTTCAATAGGAGATAATTTGAGCTACAAATTGGCTGTGCATCAAGCATGGCAACCTGATCTGGTGAGCCGAACAATGCCTGACGGCCGTTCCATCGTCCACCGCTTCTCAATGAAGACTCAATGTCGTCTGAGGCGTCGCCATTCTACCGTGAACTGCAACTACAGCTTGATGTCTTGGAGCACAAGGCGAAGGGATGGGGTGCCAGGCTGCCAGCTCCCACGTTCACCTCCATCCGATGGGGCGTTCTAATAAGTATCCTCCCAAGTCCAGTCGGGTTTCAAATGTGAAAACAAGTTCTGATGATAATTTTATTTACGTACGCACGTAGTATTCCACGTCAGCAAATCCGTGTGCTTTTCAATTGTTCTTGGATCAGCCCGAGTGGCGCTTGTCAGCCTTCTACGCTCGGCGCCGCATCACCATATGTGGCTGAGGACAGACTGTGGCACAGGCCCAGTGATGCTGGGCCCCGTCATCAGCAATCAACAGCCTGAGCTCCCCGTGGTCAGAATCTCCAGGCGCTCTATCCTGTCGCCAACCACACAACTGCGCCACTACTCATTCGTGGCATATCTCCTATTAATCATTGCCTCATTCCAGTTGCAGGAAATCATTCTATCGTTCATTCAATCTGCACCCTTCTCATCATTTCGTCCATCCAGCCGGTCCCTAATCTTTATCGCGTCTCCATTTGCACCTTGGCCATCTTTCCCAAGCTAGCCCGAGCGCCCAACCAAGGATATCCTGCCGCTGCGCTTGGCTCTGCCGCGTAATCTAATAAACTTCATTCTCCCACCTTCACATCAACTTCCGACAGTCAATTGCTCTCCATTGACATGAGCGACGTCGTTTCTATCTTGCGGCGATTCGTCTTCGAGTCGCCGCCCGGAGAATGGGCCATCAAGCAGCTACGCGAGCTGTTGATCGGGGCCCTTAAGCAGGGCCCCGTGCCGCAACATGTTGCTTTCGAAATGGATGGTAACCGCCGCTACGCCCGTAGTCATCGCATGGAGACGGTCGAAGGGCACCACAGAGGATTTGAGGCTCTTGCCAGAGTACGATTATTGCTCCCTGAATGTGTCCGATATTGTGGCTAATGCGGACAGATCATGGAGATTTGCTACAAGGCTGGCGTTAAGACCGTCACCGTCTACGCGTTCAGCATCGAGAACTTCAACCGCCCCAAGTATGAAGTCGAAGGGTTGATGCAACTCGCGAAAGTGAAGCTCGAGCAGCTCACCACGTACGGGGATGTGCTTGACCGGTATGGGGCTGCTGTCCGTGTCATCGGGCAGCGCGAGATGATTCGGGACGATGTTCTACAAGTTGTGGACAAGGCCGTTGCCCGTACTCGCCACAACCAAAAGTACGCGATCTTCCTCGGGATGCGGGACTATACTGACAAGACACAGGGCTGTCCTGAACATCTGCTTCCCCTACACATCGAGAGCTGAGATCACGACTGCCATTCAATCGACGGTTGCCGAATTCCTCGCACCTCCACCGCCCAGAAATACTCCGTTCTCGCAGACTCGCATAAGGCAGAATATTTTGTCTCGTCAACTCAACGGGCATGATCCTCTGCCCACGATACGCGACTCATCGCCCGAGAAGCAAACACAGACTGGCGATCGCGCCTATGCTGCAGAAGTCGAAGAATCTGGTGATCTCGACGAGGGCGCCTCTTCGTCTACAACACTTCCCCCCGATTCACCGCCGCCGCGTCTGAGGGACGGAGCTGGCCAGGCACATCTCCCGAGCCCCGAGGACATCACAGTGGAAACGCTTGATAGTCACATGTACACATCAGAAGACCCTCCACTGGATCTTTTTGTGCGCACCAGTGGTGTTGAGCGGTTGAGCGACTTCATGCTGTGGCAGTGTCATCAAGATACCCAGATATTCTTCCTCGAATGCTTGTGGCCTGATTTTGATCTGCACCATTTCGTGTGGGTGCTCCTGGAGTGGCAGTGGCGGATGAAACAGAGGGATCGGGACGAGGCGCCTGGCAGGAGGAGACATGTCAAGCCCAGGAAGCTGGTGGAATAATGGGGATGGAGAACTGGCATCGCAGGTCATAGTTTGCTATTCTTTGATACCCACATTGCTCAAAGCCTGAGCTACGAAGGAGAGCGTCACATTGGAAGCATGAAGCCAGAACGGAGATACTTGATACTTGGTTGCCTTGGCCATGTTCACTGGGGAACAAATGTCCAGCCTAAACTTATTAATTCATACAAAACCTGGGTGCGCGTTTGGTTGAACTGCCTGAACATGGCCCCAAAGTTACGTCGATGTCTCCAACAGAGCAACTACGTAGAAGTGGATGCACGGATAGCTGATAGCGCATCTTATCGCCAATCAGCCTTATCGTGCCTAGCGACAGCACAGATGACGCCTGAGGCCCCCAGGTGCCGCCTGCGCAATCCAGTCCATGTCTACTCCACACCGGTCGCGCGGCGCTTGAATTGAAAGTACGATAGCGGATAAGACCTCTTTGCTTCGGTGTCGTACCGCAGTGTGGACGATACGTCTCTTGTCCCCTTCCAGTTCATGCCGGTCTACGCACCCAAATTCTTCTCCTAGTTTGTTTTGCGCATGCTTCCTATTCGGTGCAAGTCTCATCGTGAGACGCTCTCAGCCAGTATCAGTTCCCACATTCGCGCCTTCCTCCCGAATCAAGCAACACTTGCCGCGAAAGAGCTTCAACCACAACCACGTCCCAGTTTGACTCGACTCCGCTCCCTCCGTCCCTTCGACGCCAGACAACTATCCCGACCATCATCATGAAGTCGGCAAAGCCGCAGGCTCCAGAAGCCTTGTCGAATCGACGGTCGCAGCCCGCTCGACAAGCCCGCACGAACCCAGCACGAAACGCCAATGTTGCCCGCTCGACGGCCGGTAGGGACGAGTCGGTGGGCGAACAGCCTATCGACATATTTCCCGCCATTACATACTTCGCCGATACCATGACGGCGCTTCCAAAGGAGCTTGTGAGACACTTCGCTTTGCTGAGAGAAGTCGATGCGAAGATCTCTGGACCTGAAGAGCAGCTCTTTGGCCTGGTTGGGGACGCGCTCGCCAACACGGCCGCGGAAGACCGCCTCAGAGACGGCCAAAGAGTCTTCCACCTGCCATTGACGGCTCCAACGAGCTTTCATAAGCAACCGAGTAACGGCAGGCTTCTCGCTGGGGCTCTGCAGTCGGGATCGTCAACAACGGCTGGCAACCCACCGACGGAAGAGGACTTGATTCTCCGTCGCCGCCACCTGTTTGGCCAGATTTCATACAAAATCCAAGAGATGCTTGTCTCGCTGGAGGAAAAGAATCATGTCATCAACACTGCGAATGAGGCTTTACAAAGACAGCTGGCACGTGTTGACGACGTGTGGCCCTATCTCGAGAACGAGTTCAGCGATGAGGCCAAATGGGGAAGCACAACGCATTGGGCTTACCCGGAGAATCGCAATGGCCGAACAGCGCATCCAGAGCGCACCCGGAGGGACGGTGCCGCGGCGATTTCGGCTGCTGCCCAGGTCATTGCGGAGGAGGCGGCCGCCAGAAGCGATGCTAGGAAGCAAGCTCTCCAAGCGAAGAAAACCCTCAAAGCGCAACAGCAACAACAAGAGTCTGACTTTGACGAAATCGAAGGCCGACATCAGAAAGGCGAAAACAAGAAGAGTGCGGCCAGCAAGGTGCGCAAGACGGCCGAAACGAGCAACGTTGGGTTAGGTATCTCCGGTGTCACGAATGGGAGCGCTCCGCCAAAGAAACGCAAAGCGGAGAACGCAACGAACAGCTTGTCCCAAAGCAATGGAACGCCGAACTCGTCATCCGGACCGGCAGCGCCCAAAGGCAAAGTCGCTGCTGCCGCCGCCGATGCGACCGGTCCGCAGCCAAAGAAAAGAAAAGCCCTCCCGTCTGCTAGTGGTCAAGCAAAGAAGTATGTAGTCCGGCACCGAACTCATCAGCGGGCACTAACTGAGTACAGGAATGGAATGTCGCCCTCCGTGGCCTCCTCCCCCGTCCTTGGTTCGCTCCCGGAACCCAGGGGCTTGAACCGCGCGTCGCCCGCGCCCAATACGAACCCTCGACCAGCTACCTCCCGTGCACGTGGAAACTCGATAGCATCTCTTGCCGACGCGGCTAAGAACCGCCCGGCGTCTGTCGCGTCTGCACGGGCAAACGGCAACGGCCAAAGCAATAGCGAGGCTGGCCAGACTACGTCAGTTGCTCGCGCCCCGAGCGTACCACGGTCGATCAAAGAGTCAAGCGTGCCGTCGAGTAAAGAGCAAAAGAAGGAGCAAGAACGACCCGAGGTCGAGACACCAACAGCTCCTCCACCCCCTCCCGAGAGAAGAGAAACCAAAGCTGCTGCGGCACACGAACGCCGCAAAAGTGAATCGGTACCGCCAGTACAGACACCAGCGACGGTCACGACCAAGAGTGGACGTGCCAGCAAACCGTCGACACCAGCCCTGCCGACTTTCCAGGAAGCCGCACAGTCTCGGTCGAGGTCTTCGAGGACAGCTGACAATGGCGGAGCGAAGAAGAGCCACAAGAAGGGGGCAGCGTCAACTACGCAGGCACTCGCCCCGCCGCCAGTCGAGGAGGGGTTGTCCAGTGGCGAAGGTGACATTGAGGATGAACCACTGTACTGCTATTGCAACGGTATCAGCTACGGGGAAATGGTCGGCTGCGACTCGGATGACTGCGAGCGCGAGTGGTTCCATTTGAGCTGCGTGGGATTAAAGGTCGCACCAGCTGGTAAGTTCACTTCACGACCCTGCGCCGTGCTCTGCGACGCTAACGAAAAGTAGGCCAATGGTTCTGTGCCGATTGCAAAGAACGCCTAGGCCTCGGCGGGAAGAAAGTAGGCAGTCGATGATGCTGCGAGGGACCGAACGACATCACTATGCGTGTACTCTTGATATGAAGGGGGCATGGTGGGAACAGGAGCGATTGGCATAATGGTGTTTCTTTATCGGCGTTTCCACGCCACAACGGCCCAAAAGGCCTCAAGCGGACGGCGTTGTGTGAATTGGCGTCATGGGAAAGGCAGGCCGCGAGCCTAGGGGCAGTTGTGTGCATTGAAAGGGCATATAGGCGGTCTCGAAGTTGGTCTTTCCAACCTCGGGTATACTACAGATGTTATTGTCGCGTGTCACTTGGATGGTTTGGTACAAGTGTTACAGCTGGCACTCTCGAGGCTGCGTCTCTGCGTCGACGATGTTAGAGTCCATTTGCGGTTGGCGATACCCATGAAGTTAATTGGTCTAGCAGTTTCTGGGGCTATGGTCTTCGACATCGGATCCATGAAGGGTTTCTGCATCGCCATATTTGTCGATAATTACGCGCTTAGCCAAATCTTACCCGAGAAACGCGCGGGCACAGCACAGCACACTCCCGCTTCAAGGATAGAAAGAAGTCCCTCCTACTTGGTTCTAGCTGCACGCTGACTGCAGCTCGGAAAGAGAGCAGTCTAATAGCAAATAGTGCATGTTGCTGTTTTAATCATATCACAGCTAATAGATGACTTTGGCCAAAATTCTTCGTCTCGGCCAAATAAAGGGGGATGGATGTTTTGGCGCGTGCATAGGGTATCTGGTGGTGATGAACGAGCTAGCTCAAGAAACGGCTTGCCTCGGCACTGTGCGCCGATAACGGCGGCTTCACTGCGCCTGCTTGTTTACGTGGTACATAAAGCGCCGGGTATCATCACATATCGGAGCTGGCTCACGTGCAGCAGCCTTCAACCAGAAAGAAAAGTGGCAGTGCGACGAAGACAGCTGAAAGATAATGGCAGCTATTCATCATTATCTGCCTGGGCGGAACAGAGTGACGGATGAAGGGGCGGACGGAGTCTGGAAGCAAGCGCGTCTAGGGTTACTGAACGCGACATGACGTCATGGACGGTATAACTTATGCGAGGTACGGATACACAACTAATCAGCTTGCCACTTCCATGCGCGTTGACACGCGTGCAACTGAAGGCGAAAGTGACTGAATGGCTACATAAAATTGAGAAACCCAAGCGTGATACGTGTTTGCTGAGGACGGATGTAAGCGATGGTGGTTCAATGAGAACATTGGTCACAAGCTTCTTTTAGTCTCAAAGCAGAAGGTGTGGCTCGAAACTGGGGAAAGCACAAGTGTAGCGCGCCTGCACCATGGCGGCCATGCGGCGGACACCAACAAAACGCGACCTGCTACAGGTCACGAGGCTGCGCAACCGGGGTTCATTTAGTTCTGGATCCGCAAAGCTGGCAATTCATTACGTTTAACAACCCCTTTTTTACACCGAACAATGCAACGAACTGAGCCGCCAGGCCAACAGCCTCCCCGTTGGTGAAAGAATGGTCGCACAGCTGCGCTGGCGGTCAATTGGATGATTTCAATTCCCATTCATTTGGCGACGCGGAGAAACAAAATCTGCTGTTCACCTGACGACATGACCGCCTGTGCTTGGATTTCATTACGAAATACCGACCGCCTATGAGCGAATCATGGCATCGTCACGACATGCAACGTCTGCCCATCGGGAGATGAAATGCCATCCAGCCAACCCCCCTTGAGATCGTGGTCGACAAACTGAACGACGAAGAATGGGTCCCTGGCCGAAACGGGCTTTGACGTCGTTCATTGTCCATTGTGGCGCGGTGGCCGGAAGTGAAAATATCTTTTCAGTTCGGTCCGCTGTGATGAACGTAATACGTACTCGCCCAGGCCAAAATCCGAATCCCGTCCTCCGTATCCGGCACCGCTCGTCGCCTGTTTCGCCTCGTGTTCATATGTTGTACTGATGAACCTGACTTGCAACAGAACCATACATCCACCACCACCCCGACTTTCTCTGACAAACCACCGACATCTAGGGTCTGCGTATTCTGTTTTAATATCCCTGGCAGTCCATCCACACTATCCAGACGAGAGCCGCTTCCCCGCATTGTCGAAGCCTTCTGTTACCTAAACCCGGCTTTACTTGACTAATAGAAAGCATCCTTACGGACACTACTTTCTCCTCGACCTCAACAGTTTCTGCCCTGCAACCTTACATTCGATACAAGCCGAAAAGTCAAGCTTCTCTCACTTCGCGTCTTGGCCTGCTGGACGTTTTGCACTGTCACATAAACGCCTGCTAGAGTTTTGATTCGTGGCTAGATACAACGAAACGAACCCACAACCAAGACTCCCACACACCCTTCGAACAACTTATATGGCCGGTCACGAAGATGCCGAGCACCGCATGGTGCTCGACTTCGACCACAACACCACTCCGTTAAAGTCAACAATGCCCGGTGCTATTTCGCCCTCCGAAAAGACGGCTCGTTCATCCTTCTCCTCGGTTCGCGAGAACGACGATGGGCTCGCTCAAACCTTCACCAGATCCAAAATCTCTTCCTATACCAACGAGGCAGAAGAGGTTTTCGATGAATCCCCGTCGTCCGAGAGCGGTCAGCCGTTCTTCCAGCCTCCCTTGACCAACCCGCACAGTCAGCTGAATGGGTTCTGGGCACCAGCGCCAACCTTTCGGGGATGGAGGGAGATTCCGTTGAAGGGCAAGAAGGCCAGCCGAAGCATGGAAAACCTGAGGAGCCTGGTTATGTCATGGAGTCCCCCGTCGACCCCCCAGAACGAGCCTGAGGCCAAGAAGACCTTCCGTACGACGTATGAGCCGGGCAGGGCGCCGATTGAGACGCTCCCGAGCGAGGTACTTGGTAGGTGCCCGGGAGAACGTATACATTTGCTGGCGAATCGCTGACCTTTTTTGCCAGACAACATCATTGATCTGCTGGTTGTTGAACTACCGCCTAACGGGCTCACCATTCGCAATGCCGACCTCATGGCACTGCTCCTGGCGTCGCGCTCTCTCCATGCCGCCACATTGACTACCCTCTATCGACACATCACCATTCCGCACTCGCGAATCTTCCGCAAGTTCCTGAACACTGTCGTCGAGTACCCGAATCTTGCCAGCATCGTGCGACGGCTTGACTTCAGTCACTTCAATCCCAACTCGATCTTCTCCAACGCCAGCCAAAGGGCCTCCACCCAGAACTTGACATCCAAGACGCTGGCGCAGTGTCTCGACCTGACCCCGTACCTGCAAGAGTTCCTGGCCCAGGAGTATATCGACGGCGATATCGACAGGGAAGTATTGCGAAAGCTCTTCTTCAGCTTGCCGCGTCTCAAGGCAGTCGATTTTTGCGGGTGCTCCACCGCATCCTTCCGGGAAGCGTTCAAAGAGCTCTTGGAGGACGAGTGGCCGGAAAAGCTTGGGATCACTCGTCTTTCGTTCCACAAGTGCATCACGCTGCCAACTGCTGTCTTTGAGACGATCCTCCCTAGACTTAACAAGGTCACCCATCTGGACCTCGCTGGAACGCGGGTCACAGATGCAGCTTTGATGTCGATCCCGACTACTGCTCAGATCACACATTTGAACCTCGCTAGGTGCAAGGAATTGACGTCGGAGGCGGTCGTGGCGTTCATCACCACTCATCCCGCCGTGAAAGATTCTCTAGTCTTTCTAAGCCTCGCGACCGACGCAAGCTCCCACCTGTTGCTCGGCAAGGACGATATTGACAAGCTTGTGCCTGCTCTACCCTCCACCTTGCGCTCGTTGAGCCTGAAAGGTAGTCGCATGGAGGAGTCACACATCCCTCTGTTGCGACCTCTGACAGAAACGTTAGAGGAGCTTACCCTGGGGCGAGGCTTGGAGATCAGCGATATCCAGCAGCTGTTCAGGGTTGACGGTCAGTGGAGGCCTCACGGCATACGGTACCTTGACATCTCAGATATCGAGACAAGGATCGGCAGTGCTAGCGAGCTTTTGGCTGACGAGTCGGCGCCGCTGCACGTCATTGAAGTCGATGAACGTGTGTACGAACGGGCGGCCAAGATCAAGAAAACTCTCCAGCGTGTTGGGTGGACAGCCAAGGAGTTTGGCACCCGCTATTGGCTGGTTCGCCTCAACTCCGATGGCTCAACTGCTGACAATGGTGGTCGATGGTGGAAGATGGGCGCCGAAAGCTGGGGCATGCGAAAGGTCCCAGTGGCCAAGGGTGAAGTCGGTGGCATGTACGGATCGTTCATGTTTGGGAGACAAATTTGATTTCTGCAAGCGCATGGCAAAGGAAGGAATACCCAACTCATTCATCATGAAAGGCACACAAAAAAAAGCTTTAACGCATTGGGAAGCAAGGAGTTCGTTTGAGCATGGGGCCAGCGAAAAGCACAAAAGCATGGCTCTCTTCGATTGTATGATGGCGGATTTAACAAGGATTTTGGTGGCTTACGAATTTTCAAGTCTAGCCTTTGTTTATCGCGCTATGTCGCGAGAGATACCAGATGAGATTACGAGCACATCAATTATGAATTCAGTTGTACATACTTCGATGATACCGACTGTGGCGTGAATAGACGAACATAAGATTTGGTTAGCAACCTGTCGCATCGCCGTCGTGATAAGATGGCTGAGCAAATTTTGACTAATTAATACAATGGCAATTATACGCAAATTTTGGCAACAAGCAGAGGTCATTAATTCAATGCGCTGTGTATTGATGGCGGTCGTGCAATGCTTCATGTCTGTCCTACGGCAAGGTACACGTGACGTAGCAGTGACCGGAATAATGCAACATCCGTTCCGGTCGCAGCCGCCGCGGCGAGGTGACGACGTCTGAGGCTACCATCCCTGGCCACTGCAGCTTCGACCTCAACCTCCCTCCCAACGTTGCTCCTGGTGCCACTCCACACGCATCACCATGGCTCCGCGACAAGACACCCCGTTCCGCTCGGCGGACATGAGCATGGTCCAGCTCTATGTCTCCAACGAGATTGGCCGGGAAGTCGTTACAGCTCTCGGCGAGCTAGGTCTCTGCCAGTTTCGCGACGTAAGCACCTTCACGTCATGTCAAAAGATGGACATCGCTGACCTTCGCGCGTTGTAGCTCAACGAGGATGTCAGCGCCTTCCAAAGAACTTATACTCAAGAAATCCGACGTCTTGACAATGTTGAACGACAGCTGCGTACGACTCTTCTCCACACGCCTCGGACGAATCGAACCACCTCCGGGCTAACATGGAAATAGGCTACTTTTACTCTCAAATGGAAAAGACTGGGATCACGCTTAGGAAGCTGGACCTCGATGTTGACCGACTTGCCTCGCCTTCTACGACCGAAATCGACGAGCTCTCTGAACGCAGCGAGAAACTCGAGCAGCGCATTTCTGCGTTGAACGACAGTTACGAGACCCTCAAGAAGCGCGAAGGCGACTTGACCGAGTGGCGATGGGTCCTCCGTGAAGCCGGTAGCTTTTTCGATCGCGCTCATGGCAGCGTTGAAGAGATTCGTGCCTCGAACGACAATGATGATGCTCCCCTGTTGTCCGACGTGGAGCAGAACCAGGGCGCCCCTGATGCCGAGCGCTCGTTCTCTGGTATGAACATTGGGTTTGTGGCTGGTGTCATCAACCGTGACCGCATTGGGTCTTTCGAACGTATCCTCTGGCGTACACTGCGCGGTAACTTGTATATGAACCAGTCGGAGATCCCTGAGCCTCTGGTCGATCCCGCCAATAACGAGTCAATCAACAAGAACGTGTTCGTCATCTTTGCCCACGGAAAGGAGATCCTCGCCAAGATCCGCAAGATTTCCGAGTCCATGGGCGCCGATGTCTACAGCGTGGACGAAAACAGTGATCTGCGCCGCGATCAGATCCACGAAGTCAACAGCCGACTGGAGGATGTGCAGAATGTCTTGCGCAACACCCAGGCCACCCTTCAGGCTGAGCTCAACCAGATCTCGCAGTCGCTCTCGGCCTGGATGGTCCTGATCTCCAAGGAGAAGGCTGTGTATAACACACTCAACAACTTTTCCTATGATCGTGCTCGTCGCACTCTGATTGCTGAGGCATGGGTGCCCTCCAACGACCTGCCCCTCATCCGGTCGACTCTACAAGATGTCACCAACCGCGCTGGCCTGTCTGTGCCCTCGATTATCAACGAGATCAAGACGAACAAGACGCCACCGACATATCTCAAGACGAACAAATTCACCGAAGGCTTCCAGACCATTGTCAACGCCTACGGTACGGCCACGTACCGGGAGGTCAACCCTGCGATGCCGGTCATCGTCACCTTCCCGTTCCTGTTCGCCGTCATGTTTGGTGACTTTGGACACGCCATCATCATGTTGTCGGCAGCCATTGCGATGATCTACTGGGAGAAGTCTTTGAAAAAGGTCACTTTCGAGCTCTTCGCCATGATCTTCTACGGTCGTTACATCGCCTTGGTCATGGCTGTCTTCTCTGTTTTCACCGGTCTCATTTACAATGATGTGTTCTCCAAGTCCATGACTCTTTTCCCCAGCGCCTGGGAGTGGAAGAAGCCTGATAACTGGGAGGAGGGAATGATGCTCACTGCTGAGCTGAACGATCACGGCTACCGCTATCCCTTTGGTATGGACTTTGCGTGGCACGGCAGCGACAATGATCTCCTCTTCAGCAACTCGTACAAGATGAAGATGAGTATCATCCTCGGTTGGTCTCACATGACCTACTCTCTGTGCTTTTCCTACATCAACGCCAGACACTTCAAGAAGCCCATCGACATCTGGGGTAACTTTCTTCCCGGCATGATCTTCTTTCAGTCTATCTTTGGATACCTGGTCATCTGCATTCTATACAAGTGGTCTGTTAACTGGGAAGAGGCTGGTGCTTCGCCCCCTGGCCTGCTGAACATGCTCATCTACATGTTCTTGCAGCCTGGCACGCTCCCCAACGGTGAGCGTTTGTACAAGGGTCAGGAGGTTGTCCAGGTCTTCCTCCTGCTCCTCGCCTTCGCCCAGGTTCCTGTCTTGCTGTTCCTCAAGCCCTTCTACCTCCGGTGGGAGAACAACCGTGCACGCGCCAAGGGATACCGAGGTATTGGCGAAGTCTCCCGCGTTAGTGCCCTGGATGGCGAAGACGAAGACCACAGCCGGCCCAACGGCCATGGCCCCAGCTTCGACGACGATGAGGGTGTTGCTATGATCTCACAGAACATTGAAGAAGATCACGAAGAGTTTGAGTTTAGCGAGGTCATGATTCACCAGGTCATCCACACCATTGGTATGTCTCAACCGCTTGCTAGTAGATGTTATCACTAACCGGTCGCTAGAATTCTGCCTGAACTGCGTGTCGCACACTGCATCGTACCTCCGTCTGTGGGCCTTGTCGCTCGCCCATCAGCAGCTCAGTGTTGTCTTATGGAGCATGACCATGGAGTTGGCTCTCGTCAAGACCGGCGTTCTCGGTGTCATCATGATTGTTGTTTGCTTCTATGCCTGGTTCTTCCTTTGTAAGTCTTGCATGTCATCTCCCCCAAAGGTGCCTGAAGCTAACCGTCGCAGCAATCGCGATTCTCGTATGTATGGAGGGCACCAGTGCCATGTTGCATTCCCTGCGTCTCGCTTGGGTAGAGTCCTTCTCCAAGTTTGCCGAATTTGCAGGCTGGCCGTTCCAACCTTTCTCGTTCGACACCATGCTAGAGGAGTCGGAGGAGTTGAAGGAATATCTGGGCTGAGATTCATTCATTGCCATCACTTTCATAGTCTTAGAGGCCGTGTCATGCTACAAGAACTGTACACATAGCCTGCTGTATGATAATTGCATGCTCTTGAGCCTATTGTATCGAGTCGTTCATCAAATCATCCGCGCCTGTGTACTATGCTGGCCAGAAGATTTCCATGATCATCGCCACAGAGGTGCCGTCACCTCGACTGCACGTTCCACCACCGCCCTGACCCTGTCTGCAAAGACCTTGTTGTTACACTCGACCTCCAGATCTTCCAGCCACACCTTGGCCGACATCTTGTCCACCGTGATGCTGACGCCCGGCACAGGAATGCCAATCTTGTGAAGCCTCTCAATCTCCTTTTGATGCCTTTCTCCCTCATCGTTGCTATCGCCGTCGGGCGAGACATCCATCTCCTCCCTTTCCTTGGCCTCGGCCTTGATCTCCTTTGTGGCTGCTTGCGGCAGCTTGGGCGTGTCGATGGGCGCGACATTGTCCGCACCAAACTGTGCCTCCAAGAACCAGAACAGACGCTCCAGACGCTCTTCGGGCGACGGGTTGGCGTGTGGGTTCTTCATTGTTCCGTCTACAATGTGCGAGTGGCTGTGCTTGGACGAAGACCGCTTGACCGCAGCCGGGGAGCTCTCCACGCTGAAGAGCACGGCCATGACCGAGTCAGCGATGCCGTCGTTGAGCAGGTTGGCCTCCCACTCGAGCTCAACGTCGCCTGTAGAGCGGTAACGAACGGTGACGATGCCCATGACGAGATAGGCTGCCACGAGGTTGGGAATCTCCTCATCAGCAGTCTCTTCCCGCATATCGTGTTCCATGGCATCGCCGTTGCCGTTGGCAGCCTGGCGCATCTCGGGGAGTTCCTCAATGGCGCCAAAGGTACCCTCCAGCGCCCATTTGATGAGGTCGACGCCTGCTGCGCTTAGCCGAAGACGCTGCTTGCAGGCGATGGTCGTGGTGCTGAGACCGGCGTACTCGCGCAGGTCTTCTGGCGCCATGAGGGAGAGCTTGAAGTCATTCTGGACGAGCACGCCAGATACGAGGGGAGGGTCCTTGGTGAGGGCCGTGCTTTCGTCTTCCGACGGCAGAGGCGGAGGGATGGACGCGAGCTTGCCCACGACCTTGGCTGTCTTGTCGGATTTGAAGGGGATGCGGAGTTCCTCGCAGTTTCGGGGCGAGAAGACCTTTGTCTTTGTGGTCTTCGATGCGTTGAGTGAGAGAAGCTTAGACTTGAGACGCATCATATTGTGCTGCTCCCCGTGGACTAGAATCTGTTGTTACGGGTCAGCGTAGCCTTTGGGAGCATTGACGTCCCTTGGGCGACTTACAACGACAGGGGCGGCAACTTCTTCGATAAACTCGCGGTTCTCGACACCATCGACGTGTGCCGCGAATGAGTACTCGGCCACACTGCAGCGGCGTGGGATGAGGACCTTTTCGTCCCCACCGACGCCTCGTCTCGCGCCTGCAATACTGCGTGACATGACTGCCTGGATCTGGTCAGGCTCCTGCATGACTTGCCGTGCCATAGTGCCCTCGACACTGTAGCCGGTGATGATGACACCGTTCTTGTCGCTCGGCGCCCATCGCTCAAAGAGCTCTCTGCTTACGCCATTCTGCAGCATACCGGGACTTGCCAGCATGACACAGCCGCCCACATCGTCAAAGCGATCAAGGTTCTTCAACGACCGGATGAATTTGAAGTCCCAAGGTCCGCCTTTCCCCTTGCCGTCGCCGGTTGCTTCGGCCTCGGCCATGCGCTCGCGGAAGAGACGCTTGATGTTGTCGTTCATGGCGCCGACATATGTCTGGTAGACCAGCATACACTTCCTAGCGAGGTTGCTGGCGTAGTAGATGGGGAATTTCTGAAAGTCGGGGTGCTTGGCCCAGTACTCGTCCAAGATGAGAAGAAGCTCCTGCGCACGCCCCAGGGCAAAGACAGGCAGCAGGGCGCGCCCACCGCGATTGAGGATGCTGGTAATCGTCTTCATCAAGGCCTGCTCGCGCTCCACTCGGGGCACATGCGAGGCGATGCCGTACGTGGACTCTGTGATGAGCACGTCGATCTTGACGCCCTTGGGCACCTCGGCTGACACCAAATGACGATCCTGCTCGCGAGAATAGTCGCCGGTGAAGAAGATGTTGAGCCCTGCGATCTCGACGAGGAACATGGCCGCCCCGAGCACATGGCCAGCCGGGTACGGCGTGATGCGGATCGAGGAGATGGTGTGTGTCGTGTGGTAATCGATCGCTTCGATTTGGGGGAATGTGTTGAGATGATCTTGTTCAGTATACACTGGCTGCGTTGTCGAGTTGGATGATGTATTGCCGACGCGCACCGAGTCCTGGATGAGCCACTTGTAGATGGCCTTTGTGGGATGGGTCATGAAGACACGCCCCTTGAAGTTGGTCTTGGACAGGACATAGGGTAAAGAGGCCGCGTGGTCGACGTGGAAACTGGACTCGTCAGCGTTACGGTTCATCGCCATGAGGACCTCATCGTGCGTGGTCGTGGTCGGATCGGCTAGTGTGGGCTCTGGGGGATAGGTCTGTCGCATCACAAATAGCAACCGGGAGTGCGAGAATACATAGTCTATTGATCTGCGTAGAGAATATGGGCATGGCGCACACGCGAGGTATCCTATCCCCCTGGTATGAATACCAACCGCGCACATCTGCCGACCGAAATGCATGCACGATCGAGGAGCGTAGGGAGCGCTTACTGGCTGATCAGCAGAATGTCTACTGTACTGAGGTCGAAGTCATCGTAGAAGGGCAAAGCGGCGAGGCCGTCGTATGCTGGGTGTTGACCGGCGTCGAGCTGGTGACTTGTTAGTCGGGGGTTTCTGTGACGCGAAGAGGGCTCAACATACCATGACCGTCTTGCCCTTGTACTGAATGATGTGACAAGATCGACCGACCTCGTTGCCGCCGCCCAGACACAGAAACAAGAGCTCATCCGAAGGATCGACTGGGTCTTCGTTGGGGGCCATGTTCATGGCCGCAGCCTTCCGTTTGGCCGCCATGTTCGTACACCGTGAGAATGGACGATGCACCTACTAGTCACATTAGCAGTCGCGTTGATATGGAGCTTCGATCACCAGCGCAAAAGACCACAAAGGAGGTCCAGCGCTAGCTCTGCGACAAGGCGGCATAGAGCAGTATCCGAGGTCGCAGGCGCAAAGGCAAAAGACGCGCTTGAGCAGGTGAAGTTCAAGGGGACCTTGGGCGTTGGTTGGCATGGACTTGCGGTGCCATGCTTGTGTTAGTGGGGTGTGCGTAGGCCAGGCGCGCCGGTTAATCCTGGGTCGGTGCTGGACGAGAGGTCACGTGACTACAAAGGAGCGCGACACTCCTCACAGCTGTTTGAACCTTCATGACTCCATGTCCACGCCCACGTAGTCAAAGGCGATTAATCCCGTATATCGCCACGCGACGAGCCCATCCGAACCGCGCCGTTACTGCACACCGAAGCTCGGATCGCAGTGACACGTTTTTCTCCGAACAGCACTCCCTCTCCAAACGTCCGAGATCGATACAGCGCGTCGAATGAGATCCGCTGCACCTACCACCCCGGGCTTCATGGCCTGCTGAGTGCAACGCTCGATCACGCCTGGCGCCCAGGCAGCAAGCAGCACCTTCCTTCCTTCTCTTCTCCTATCTGTTCGTTGTCGTCCGAACATTTCATCAGCATCATGGCGCAACCAACGCACGCACAGCCGGCCTTCTCGCCGCCGCCGCCGCAGCACAGTCCGTCACCAACGATATCACAATCGGGCTTTGCGCCTCCGCCCAAACGTGTCCGCACCGATGGTCCGCAGTCACAGCCCGACTCGCCATACCCCAACTCGCCGTTCGCAAACAGCCCTCAGCTGGGCGCGACTCCACCACCAGGTGGTACAGGGTCGCCTGCGCCCGTGCAAAGCCCAGCGTTACAGGGTCAGCAATCGCCCTACACAAACGGCGCATCAACGCCCACACTTAGTCTACCGGAAGCACGACCAAGTCCCACGCCGCAGGTCACCACTCCCCAGCCCTTGAACCCGATGGCATCCCAGTATACCACCGCTACGATGGCGCCCTTGACGACACCAGCGCCGGCAACACAGCCGGGCAGCATGGGTCCTCCTCAGCGGCCGGCCGACCGACCAGCGAAAGACTACGAATACGATGTGACGGACAGCTTGGCGGGGACGGGCATCGACTTGCGAGCTGAAGAAGATTTCATGGCGAATCTCTACGCCAAGCAATATGAACAAGAGGCTCAACAAGGGTTCGCGCAGCATCCGGCTGGATCAAAGTCGACGTTCTTCGGGGCCGGACCGGCCAACCAGCCTGCGGGACCTTCTGGGCAGACTGGTCAGGACATATTCGCAGCGCAGGCGGCAGAGAGAGCGTGGGCTGAGTCGGCTAGGCGTCTGGCCACGCAGCGAACGCAAGAGATCAACGACCCTTTCTTGCTTGTCGCTCTGCTCCACAGGCGCGCAGACAAGATCGCCCGGGAGCACCACTTGGAGCTCATTGTGGATAACAAGAACAACACACAGCCGATGGGCAAGATGAAGATGCCGAATGAGTTTCCCGAGCCAAAGGTCACGGTCAGCATGAAACCCTCTGGGGAGGACCAGGCCATGGTGGAAACTACAGGCTCCTTCATACCGCACGACGCGCATCTGGTGGACCAACTGGCTCTCATGTCCATTGCTACAAAGACGAGGCTGCGAGACTTGGTGGAAGAGGCTGGCAACGTTGCTGTGCACAGACAGAGCACGTCGCATGGCGAGATCCCGGCGGCCTGGGAGCCGGCCTCTGCGCCTCTGAACGTTGAAACTCCCGAGGCCATGGACGTCGATGGACTCAACGTGGACGGCAGTCCTGCCGCCGATTCAGCTCTCAAACGTGCGTATCGGAAACAAAAACATTATGGACCCAAAGTTAACACAGAACAGGTCCAGCGGACAGTAATGCATTGGAAAATGGCGCTCCCGCGAAGAAGCTACCCAAGATATCCTCTTACCTGACGACGACAATGCGTGAGTTGGCGAAGCAAGAGCGTCAGTGGGAAGAAGCACGGTTAAGGAGGCGCCAGCAACGTAAGGATGGCACGGCAGATGCGGCGGGCTCGCGTAGCGGTAGTGTCGCACCGGGCACCCCTGGCTCGATAGCACCAGAAGAGAAGGCGCCGACTAAGAAGGAGGCCAAGAAAGCTCTGAAGGCGGCGGAGCCTCACGATGCCAATGCGCAGAACTCGACGAGCGCGACGTTCACGGCGATACGAGGCAAGTCCCTATTCGGCAAGAAAGCCAAGTCATACGACTGGATGACCAAGCCTGGTATGGGCGGCGCCAGCACACCGGCAGCGAGGACACCTGGAGCCAAGCCCAGCGTTGGTGCTAGCCCAGCTGCCGTCGCGCTTACGACCGAGGGACGCAATCGTCTGGGAACGTGGCGCGAGGACAAGGAAAAGGGCAAGAACATACAGCTCCGGGACTGGGTTGCGGCGCTCGAAAGAGACGGCCGCGAAACGGCGGCTCTACAGCGAGCGTACATTGACCTGGACCTATCCACACCACGATAGGTCCTTGCGAGGTGCTTGCAGCAAGGGAGCTGCACGCAACCGTGGTCGATTTGGTTTTCATTTCATATGGTATGGTTGATTCAGTTAGCCAGGCGTTGGTGTCACTTTCACAGCTTGGGGGGTGGAGAGAGAGGGAGGGACTTTCTCGCGCGGGATTTTGTTGCTGTTCTTTGCTATTCCGGATAAAAGGGGTCCAACGCGAAGAGCATTCGCGATAGGATGACGCTGGGCCGGTCGCCGGGGAAGAACGTACTACGTCTGAAAAGGCACGAGTGTGGTCGACCGACCGGCTATGCTATGTATACATATGATTTAACAAACATAATGGGGCTCGGCCAAGGATGGAACGATGTCCGACTTTGGAGGACAACTGGTCTCGGGGAGCGAGCGTGTGGGCGGGGGCGGCCAAAGCGAAATACAATATAAAAAAAACATCACAATAAAAAACAATGTCAATGAACCTGGATGATGTGTGGATTCAATTGGTGGCGGTCAAAATTGGGTTGTGACTGGTGTAAGGAGGGCCTTGCCATCATGGTGGAGTTCTGGTGGTCGTGATATTGGCCTCACCGGCTTTCACAGCATCATGAACCACACACATTTATCCTACGACAACTCACGTTTTAGCATCTTGCCAGCTCCCGTTGTAAACCACGCCAGACACTGTGCCTGTGGATTCACGCGCACATATTTCACCAGCGATACGGGGATGAGCCATGGCGGTTGCGGTGATCTGCCCTCCCCTCACAGCCAGTCATCGACGTTGACTGATCAGCAGTCGTGCCCAGGCCATCGGACAACTCTGCTCCACGGGCTCGCTCAAGAGCAATCTTGATCAATGTGTCAAGCTTGCCACAAAAGCCTCCCAAGGAGGTGCCAAAGTACGCAGCGCCCAATCAATCTCCCCCGAGAACCGCACCGCTAGGGAACTGATCTAACCACAACCCAGATCCTATTCCTACCAGAGGCGTCTGACTACATCGCCTCCAGCGCGCAGGAGTCCCTCGCCCTAGCCGTACCGCAGGCCATGTCACCTTTTGTCGCCGGTCTGTGCGACACAGCCAAGCAGCACGGCCTCGCCATTCACGTTGGGATCCACGCCCCGTGCCCCTCCATCCAGGACAAGCTCGTCAACCGCGCGCTGTACATCCAGGAGGATGGCAGCATCAACGACGCAGCGACCTATGACAAGCTCCACGTGTTCGACTACGGGTCGCTCCGAGAGAGTGCCACCGTGCAGCCCGGGACAGCGCTCACGCGGCCCTTTGCTTCACCCGTTGGCAGGATAGGCAGCCTCATCTGCTTCGATCTTCGCTTCCCCGAGGCCAGCACGGCCCTCGCGCAGCCGGGGCCCTCGAGTTCGTGGCGGGATGGCCCCGCGCAGATCCTCACCTTTCCGAGCGCGTTCACCCTGCGAACGGGCGAGGCGCACTGGGAGACGCTGCTGCGCGCGAGGGCGATTGAGACGCAGAGCTGGGTGGTCGCCTCGGCGCAGGTGGGACAGCACAACGACAAGAGGGCGAGCTACGGCAAGAGCATTGTCGTTGATCCGTGGGGCAAGGTTATGGTGCGACTGGGCGGTGTCAAGGACGCCGAGGGGGGGAACGGCGAGGCAGAGGACGGAGCGGTTGGGGCCATTGGGTTTGTGGACATTGACATTGACGAGGTCGAGCGCGTGAGGAGGCAGATGCCTTTGCAAAGGCGATGGTACGTATACGGATGACAGTGGTGCACCAGCGTTTGAGACTGACGGTATCTAGGGACGTTTACCCAGAGCTATGATCAGGGGGGTTTCGCCTAATTACGAGCTCTGCGATGTTGGTACTATCGCAAACTCGCAAATACAAGGACACACAAGGTTGGTCTGTCACCAACATTGAGCATGTTGGCTACTAACTTACAGTACATGCATGTACGCACCTTGTTGTTCGCATCACACAATGACTCAGAGAACCGGTACCAAGTCACAGGCAAGACAAATCACAAGAATTCGTCCTTTTACAGATCAGCAGCCTTGAAGCCCGCAAGGTGATCTTCCGCTCGTACTGTAGGAATCGTGTGCGGGTATGCCGCGAGCCTTGGTTCCCCGTCCGGGGAGTTGCAGCCATGCCGGCCGGCACTCAGCATGTCAGGATGCGAATGGTCCCTGGTGTACTCGTAAGATGGCTGTTCCGAATAAGACATTATTGTTGGTCCTGAGGCTCGGTTTGAACACGTTGTCCCAGCCCCAGCCGCCATTACTCATCGATACGCGGCAAGAGTCAGTGTGAGGTGTATGTGTGTCCGAAAAGGCAATGAGAAATTGAGTTCGGCGACCTACGAGCCGGAGATCGATTTTTGTCTCAGATCTCCTCCGGTGTCTGGAGTATCCGTACAGTAGTGCCTACTGCTTACGTACCGTCGGTACATGCGTCTTGTCTCTTGTCTCGGGCACTGCCAGCCGGGGCCTTGATGTGTGCGATACTTGTTTGAGAGCACAACTGTTTGCGCCATGAACGCGGTACGGCAGAGTAAGCCACCGATACGCAAGGCCACAGAGGCCAAGGGACGAAAATGTAAACTGATTTTCAGGATATCAATTCGATCTTTGTTTGCGCAGAGACAACAGCAAGCGGACAGACACACACCACCAAGCGGCAAGCCACACTCCCAAGTGGCCGGAACCTCCCAGATCCCGCATTGACTAGCGTCTGTTCCATTTCCAACCCCACCCTCTTTCAATTTGGTTTCTAGGTGGCAAGCTATGTTAATTACAACAGCATCGTACATCAGGCACGGGGTCGTGTCAGGGTGAGAATGTGTTTGCTGTTGGCTTGCGTGCCTCATCAAGCGCACCGTCAAACACGCACGGAGTGCCAGATGCGACGGAGTGCATGTCAAACACACTCCGGCAGGAACGAGAATACGTAGATCCTTCCTGCCTTTGCATCATGCAAGGGCGATCAACCAATCACTCCTCATTCCACATTCGAAGCTCCGAGTCAGTTGGCGCAGTTATTAGTAGACGTACCTACGTAGATGCTTCTCTTTGATGCGCGACTGCTGCAGCGCTACCTCATGCGGCCTGCCTTGTGCAGTGCGCGACGGGATAAAACAGCTGCTTGTTCGCCGACTGGAGCTACCCTCAGAGCGCTGTGTTTCCCCATTCATGCATCATGCAGCCGCCTGCCTATGCGGATGGTCCCAGCTGCGTCATCATGTGCCAGGCGGTTCGATCCGCCAGTGTGCATATGCACACTGTCTATCCGTGGGAACAGAGGCGCAATACGTGCCATCATGCAAGGTACGGGACCTTCCAGCAGCGATTAACCTTCTTCTCCCCTTCTCTGATTGTCCGCTCCGTCACCGTGCATTGCTTCTCCCCGATCGCCTGCGGCCCAAAGCGCGACCAGACGCCACCCCCAGCAGAAGCAAACATTGGTCCATCCACGCTGGAAACTGAAACAGCCTGCCGTGGTTGTAGAATTGCACCAATTGAGTCCAGTCCTAGTCGGATCGGGCAGTTCAAGTTTGCTGCGGGACGGCGCATCTCAGCGCGTCGCGCTGCGGTTGGTAGCAGGGCGGCGGCTGGTGATTTATGAGAAACCTGGGCAAACTGTTGAATACGTCGTCTGCCTTGCCTGCTTGCTGGTGTTAGCGGCGCGTCAATCCGCCTGTCCGACGGACCATCACCAACCGTCACATCTACCCCAGCATTCCCTCAAATTGACAGCGCGAAAATTAGTCTTGGTGAGTTGCTCATAGTGGCAGCCACCCACTGGCAAACCTCAGTCTTGGGCAGTACTAGCAACATGAGAATTCAAATGCTGGAAAAGGATAGTGAGGTACTTAGTGATATAACAATAAAAAGGGTATCTTTTCCGTCCGTCTGTCTGAGCCCAGCCCAGTGACGCCAGTGGCAGCAGTCGGGCCACGCTGAACTGTCTCTTGCCTCGTACAGAAATATTTGTACCTACACCCGAGTTGCCCAAACATGATATGTTGACAATGTAAAGAAAATCGAAAAGGCAAAGCAAATGAAGCCCTAGTCTATATGCGCAAACCCAAGCAAGAACTTCCGACTTTTGTTGTCCCAAAACCAGTGTTGGAGGCAGCCCTCCAAACAAACAAAAAAAAAATAAGAAAACCCTGTCTGTAGGCTCTGAATCTGATCAGGCTCGGACAGGGAGCCCGTGAGGGCAATGCTCTTGTCGTCTACTCTTCTGCGCCTTTTGTTTGGAACACTCCAGAGCGTGTCCATGTCTTCGAGAGGTGGCAATCGCCTATCACTGAAGCCAGGCAGAAAAAAGGACGTATCCCGAAATGTGCCCAATGTATCCCATCTATGCCCAAACGCCGCGCTAGGACTGGTCTGGTCCAGGAAGCGCTGTAAAAATCCAAATTAAGGGTGAAGATAGTGTCCAGGCTCTTGAAGCCTGCAGTTCTCCCTGAAGTCGAGCCGCTGAGAGGCAAGGAAAGGCTTTTGATCCGCAGTCGGCAAATGGTGATATTGTCGAGAGTTGGTAAATTAAAGTATGTTACGTGAAGGTGCTCGTAGGCCGAAGTCGAAAAGAAGATGTCTTGCTGGGATCAATCGCAGCGGTCTGATGGTTTTATCGAGGGTGAGGTGGAGGCTTGGGGACGCCCGTGGTATCGTAGGCACCACGGCCCATGTTGCAAGGACTCGATGATTCGGCGAGCATGGTGATGTAGTTGCGGGTTGCGGTGCGATCGAACTTGGAATGTTCAGTGAAGCGTACAGAGCTGTGGATGTGTTAGTGGATGCAATCGCAGTCAGGCGGGAGAACCAAGCAGTGCATGAAACCCTGAATATTCACAACGCAAGCGATTTGTACTTACCAGCTCGATCGTCAGTGAAGAGAGTGTATTGGACTGAGGCGAATTGTGTGGGCACCAATACGTTGAGGTCGAAGGACAGGAGATACTGTCTCGGTAGGTGGTCGAACAGGGCGTCGTCACGCGATGCGCTTAGAGCTTCTTTTACGTTTGCGCAACAGCGTGTCCAAGTTTGTAGCGTGGTTTTCGGTATGTTCTGGTGACTGGCAGAATACTCGTTTCTGTTGGCGATGATTTGGCAAGTGCGTGTACAGCAGTGTAGCGAGACAAGTCGTAGACCAAGCCGAGGCAAGGGTCAGTGATGGATCGATGCGTGAGCCGCGAGGCTATGATTACTGTAGATGTAGTGGTATTAACGAGGTAGGAAAACAGAACGATGGTACACGATTGGACTGAAGGAGAGTAGGGGAGAGCTGAAAGAGGCAAAGGAATGGAATGGTGCGAGACCAGGAGCTTTTGTATAAGAGGCCAGAAGAAGAGCAGGAGGATTGCAGAAGGAAAGTAGAAGGGGGCTATCCGTCACCGAGGACGACTCAGGCAATGCCCAGAAAAAGTTGGGAGCACAATATGGCAGGCAGGTACCTTGTCCCTTCTCCAGGTACCGTAGATTGTCAAATTTACCAGCTGGACACACCATGCTTGCTAGGTAGCCGGTACGAGCGATCCGCCGGGCGTGCCTGAGCGCTCGCGGCCCTGGTTGGGAGACAAAAAGCAGCAACGGACAGCCCAGCAAATAGCCGTCGCAGGAGAATGGCTAAAATCGCCATAGGCCCATTCTGGCGCCGAGATGGGCAATCAAGGGTGCCAAAGCAGGGAGGCGCCAGGCATGGAGACCGCGGCAAGGGAGTGCGAGGGCCATGACATTCCTACAGTGTCATAGAGTGGGCAACGCGACCAGACGCACCAGGGGCCAGCAGTGGATGGACGCGACGGATCGAGCCAGTGGAGAAGCGCTGGACTTAGGATGGTTAGGCCAGGGGTCTGGGGTCATGGCTGCTGATCCGTCCAGCCCAAAACACCGGGCGGATGGAGTGCGTGCCCAAACGCGACGACACTGTGCACTGCTCGCCTGTCATCCATCACTGCGAGCGCTGGAGGATTGTAACCTGACGCTAGCGAGTATTCATTACGGATCAGGGGGGTATCCACGCCGGAAGAGCGCAACACCGTGCCCGTGGACGCTCCAGTTATTCATCGTCGAGACTCCACTGTGGTCTTCTCAGGCTCCTGTGGTGATTATCAAATCGGCCAGAGTGAAAGAATGTCTGCGCAATGTGTCATTGCGCGGTGGCATAGTTCATCATCGTTTTGTGACACGACCAGTTGTGACTTGTGCCCCCATGTGCTGAATGCGACTGGCAGCCTCAAAATGATACAACACAGTAATACGTATCGCATCTCGGGCCCTATCGCTTTCCAGGAAGAAGCAAAAACGTGGGAGCATGCAGGCACTATTCAAAAGGGGTGTTTGTAGCGATCCAGGCACGGCCCCTCGGTCTGGACAAACGCGCTTTTGCCAGAATGCAACAGCGCGCGTCATGACCTGACTCAACCTCCTCCATCCCCTGCGCACGACGCTGAGAAAGTAAAACATGCTCTTCAACGTGCCGGTGTACCGCCGCTCACATCGAGGCCGTGGCATTGGCAGTTGAGGCTCACCGAGAAAATAGGCACTGTGCCGGGCGGCACTGCACGTCGAGAACCCTTCCAGCTGATCTTTGTGCGACTATCGGGTTCAGCAGGGCGCAGTATAGATCACCAAGGGCCCGGTGATACCAACTGCCACTTTATTCACGCTTCCTCACCATCCATTCTCCGGATGCTGTGTGTCAACGAGCATTTATGCTCTGCCGCTCGCAGGGGCAAAAGAATGCCTGCCGTGCTTTCTGTGATATATATAACCACCATCATCTGGAAGCTTACCATCCACCTTTCGCCGGCCGAGCTAGGGGCAATCCGCATGTCGCCGATCCATGCTCCTGGTTTCCGAACTGAGGCAGACGGCTGTCGTTCGCCTATTACTACCACGCCAACGGGTGTTCGCTGTATAACATTACGCTGCATCCGAAACCACCTTCCTAATAATAATCACGAATCGTGTGACGGCGCGAGTTCGTATGCGGTTTCAGCACTGTGCCAATTGACCATATCTTCTCGTGAAAAAAAGAAAAGGCCTGCTCTTGCGGTTCTCTTGGTAGGATCGCTGCCGCTGAATCGGCACAGAGGATGATGAATGGCGCAACTTGCAAGTCGCACTGCATCTCGGCTCCCATACGTGTTCATCATTCTTCCTGGACGCCCGCATCGGGTTATTATTATCAATGCAATTGTCCTTTGGCTGCATCTGCCGGGCCTGCTGAAAGATGACGTGGATTCAACTGGCCGCGCCCGCTGTTGATGCTCCAACTTAATAACTGTCAGACGGGTCGCCCTTCATTGTACATCTGCCATGTGGGCTGACCGACCAGGTGACCCCTTACAAGACTTAAATTCGGAGTGATTTGTCGATTTTGCCTCCAGTCATTGATCAACCACGAAGCAAGGGAGATGGCCGGTGCACGCGAGGCACATGGAGATCACTCGACTTATTGTTAACGCCAAGACAACGTTCCAAAGTCGTCTCTTGAGAAGATATGCGTCATCAAAGACACTGTCGTATTTTGGAGGCCAAATGTCATCGAGAACTGATATGGACCACGGGATCCATTGCAGGTAAAATAAAAGTCTGATCGTCTCGAAAACGTTCAGAGCTACCGACGGAGTACGTACCACGGCAAGCGAGAGTTCATCTGGCGTCGGAGCCGTCTGGCTGTCTTCCGCGACCCAAAATGCCGGTCCTAATAATGAGAGAATTCGTCCGCGGAAGTGGTCCGAGGACCATTCCCAATCTCGGGCAGCACAATTAGTGAGGCGGCAACAGGGCTACCGCCATCTCAGGGAGTCAGGGTGCACGTTTGCTGGTGCCATGTGCGAGGCGGTGCGATGCTGTCGTAGAAGTCTTCTGGAAGCTGTCACACCTGTCCATGTCAAGTGGGGACAGACAACGCGAAGCCGGGGTGCCCTACAAGTAGACAGTGTGAGAGTCACAACTTGGGGCGTGGGCCGTTTGACGTTCCCAGCGGCGATAAAATAAGTTCAACACCAAAGCCTCGGTCGAACTGAGTAGTGCGCAATAATGGGTTTGGGCAGCGAATGGCTCATTGCCCAGCTTTGACGATCTACCTAGGCCACCAAGCGACTAGGGGTTTGCAAACAAAGGAGGTACCACAAACATCGTACATGATAGAATGTGCTCTTTACGATTCAATGTAACAAGCCTACTGTCAGTAATAAAGACACGAGTCGTTCGCAAAGGGACTGTGGATTGGGATAGTCAGCACATGTCAGGGGAGGTCATTAGTCGTGCTTTCCGCGGCTCCTCTTCTAAATTGCACAGTGTCAACAGATTGGGCGTCAAACCTTTGTGTCACTGTGCCGGCTGTTCCTGCATTGGCGCCACACCCCCCAAACTCAATCCATCTCGTCGTCCGTGAAGAGTCTAAGTGTTAACAAGTTCACCCTATGATACCTTCAACAAGTGACGAGCAATAGCTGGCTGAGGATTCAGACAGAGTCACAAGGATCTCTCTCTAGCTGTTCAGCCCCATCCACCTTTTTCGACTTCGCCCGTCGGAGCAGGCCACACTCTTTCACGTTACTGCCAGGATGACACAACGTGGGAACAGGGGCTCCCCCTTCATATCGCAATGCATTATTATTTATACGACAACCAATCGATGAACCTCCGTTTACTCCGCCAGTCGTAGCATGATGAAAAGTTCTTTCAGAAGTGATTTCGCTCGCGGATTTGTGGAAATGGCAATACCTCGCCTTGCCACATTGTCATAATAACCGATCAAGGGTCTACCTTCTTGGGGGCTGTTGCAGATGCGCTGTCCCGATATCCTGGGGCTGGCTTCTCTCCACCCCGTCTTGTGTTGAGACTGTGTCTGTAATTAGTAGGGTGGCACACCTACATGGAACTTCAATAATTGCTTTATTCGGGCTGTAAACTGACTCGGTTTGCGACGCTCGTTGGGAGAGCCATTGCTAGTGTGGCTCGCGGGTGGCTGTGCTATTGAGTCAATGCGGACAATGATAATTCGTTTATTTCCATTTCCCACTAACAGAGCAATCAGAATGGACGTCCAGAAGCGGACACCGCCGCCAGCGGTTTCAGATCTCTTCAGCCAATTCATTCATTCCAGACATTGTCACCCCAGACCCAGCGACACGGTCAGTGGTTTCCCACGCCGGGTATGTGCGTCGCCATGTTCCGCCGCCCTATCCTTACCAGCCCGTCGACCGGGGAGTGCTTCCGTGACGTTTCTAGCGTCTTCTCTTCCCTCGCCGTAATTTCAAAATTTTCCCCGTCATTTTCTGTGCCGTCCGTTTCCTTCCGTCTCACAGTTTCGGCGCTCAATTCAGGGTCGTCGGGAAGCACTGTGCCTGCACAGTGGGCCGCATCCGAATTGTTGGGGGCTGGTTCCGCACCGAGAAGAGTAAGGTATCATGACAAGGATGTCAAATTGGGCAGACATTCATGGAAGATCTGCGTACTACGGAGTAGTAATACTACGTCGTCTACGTCCGTAGCCTCGCACGCATGAGGAACTTCATGGCTAGAGCTTATATTCGTGATGTTGCAATCCGTTCGCTTGAAGCTGGGTATGCTTCTCGTCAACAGGGCGGGACGTATCGAGCAGTGCCTGATGGGCCGATGGCAAAGCGTGTGTAGGTAGTGGCTGGCCCTTGAAACGCACGTATACGTTGCTAGTTACTTGGCTGACGCGGTTTGCCCTTCATCTTGGCCATGAAAAGCTACTGCTTTTGTAATTCCTGTACAGAGTAAATATTTGAGCACGCCGAATGAGAGTTGAGACAGCCCCCTAGTTTCCAATTTTGTGTATTTATCCCATTTATTGGGACATTTGTGATCGGTTGGGTCTTGATCTGGCGACGGTTAGTCAGCCTGTCAGCGTCGCTGCTCTTCTTCGAACCTCTATTGAAATTGGGAGGTGGTATTGAAGCATACTTCCATTCAGCATACCCATCCCATCTCGTTGCCATTTGGATATCGTGTTCCCATGTAGGCTAGGCGGCCGGAGTCGGGAACGAAGTGGGATAGTCCGGATAGGTTCTCTATGCGCAAGCAGCGCCGATGCTGAAATGCAAACCCTGCTATTAGCGATGCATCACTTTGTTCTCTGCATTGGAGTTAGAGCGTCTGGACACGAGGCAAGCTACGAGCGGGTGGTTGGTTTACATCGTGGTGTATTTCAGTCAGGGATTGCTCGAGTCACATTAGATACTCGTATTTCACGTCATGACATAGCAAAGCATAGAATATTAAGGTAAGAAAATAATAATTCAGAAAGCCAATTTGCGATTGACTTCATTGACAGAAGAACATCAGCCTACTAGGAATAGTGCTTGACCTTGTAGCAGTTGTCATGAAATTGAAGATTGAGGCCGCACAGGGTAGTCAAGTCGACAGTGCCTTCCCCACATGACATTTGGAGCACCCGCCCGCCGGTCAGCCTCCAAGAGTCCCCACCCCGCCGTGCCAACGTCTGACGCAGCAGCTCTCGCCCGCCTAGAGCTGCATCATCACCAGCGCTGTCAGTATATCGACCCGACTTAACACTGCGATCCACCCTGAAGCCCAAGATTGAGGCGTTTAGAGCTCTAGCAGCCCAATATGTCTATCATTCAGCAACACAGCAACGCCACACTCGGTGACGCCTGGCGCACCATCAACATCGACGCCCTTACCGAGGACTCGTCCGTCAACTTCGACACGTCGGCTCTCCATCCTCCCCAGCCCGAGGTGTCCGAAGCAGATGCGCGGCAAATCAACACACAAGTGCGACAGCTGCTACGCGGGGGCGACACCGAGGGTGCCTTGAGGGGATGCCTAGACACACCAGTATACAATGGCTCAGAGGCGGCAAAGGTAGGATGCTCGGGTTTTTAAGACTGTGAAGGCCATATCTGAATAACATCGAAAAAACAGGATGCGCACCTGCAAACCATCACCGAAGTGCTGCAGTCGATCAAGGCGAGCGAGATGAGCCCATTGCTCAAGAGCATCTATAGCTCAGAGGGCGGAAATGAGGCATTGGATGTTTTGATGAAGTACATGTGGGTACCCTGCCTCTTCCGACGATGATGCGTTACTGACTGTCCTCTGTAGCTACAAAGGAATGGGCGCTGGCGCTCCCAAGGCCTCGAGAACGCCATCTGGCGTAACCCCCCAGTCCACAGGAGGGTTTAGCCAAGTAGGAGGACGCCCAGGTTCAAACGAGCCTACAGGAGCAGCAATGAGTGTGCTGCTGAGCTGGCACGAGAAGGTTGTGGATGTGGCTGGCCTGGGCTGCATCGGACGCACGATGACCGATTGGAGGAGAGTATAAACAAAGCACGAGCTAGGTTGTAGGACTGAAGTCGCGAATATAGATATCTACATGTCTTTCAATGGCATGGATAAATTTGGTGTACATACTACAAACGAGGCCCATTGCCCTCACTTTTGCTCCAAGATATCCTTGAGGTTGAGATCACCGCTGCCCCGCGGTAGGGGCTTTGCTTGATCGGGACTTTCGTGCCACCCGATCATGTAGATGATCCTGAAAGTAGCTGGCAGCGTACCATCTTCGTTGCCATGTAGTTCGCGATAAATGGCTTCGTTGGCAAGCAGCAGATCTCTGCTAATTGGCCCCATTTCCCTTCCGAGAATCACGTTCGACTCGCCCATGGCCTGGAGATCCTGCATCAAGGTGAATGTGTCGGGATAGTCGACGACAATGTCGTCCACATCGACCGTCAGCATTTTAAACCCTGCTTTCTGTAGTAGACCTCCGACATCACGGACGTCGGCCAAAGGTGACACGCGGGGAGACATGCCTCCCCGCCTCTCCTGCTCGGCGAGCTGGAGCGATGTCCGTAACTCGAAAAGAGTGTCGCCGCCGAGCATAGCCCCAATGAACGGACAATCCGGCTTGAGAATGTTGTTGATTTGAGTGAGTGTACCTGGCAGGTCGTTGATCCAATGCATGCTGAGGTTGCTCATGACCAAATCGAACGACTCCGGTTCGTACGGCAGAGTCTCCTCGTCTTCGAGGACGTGGCGGGTGATATTCAACTGGTCATTGAAGTCGAGCTTGGCGTCTCGGTACAGCAGAGCCTCGGACGATTCAGCTGCCACTAGTTCGGTGATGCGCGTGGAGATGGGCGTCGAGTCTGGCTTCGAGGGATCTGGATCTGGATTCGGCTGTACCAGAGCGCGAGCAATGTTGCACGAGTTGGCTCCAACATCGAGGACCTTGGGGAAGTGTCGTTTGATATCCTGTCAAGGTGAGCACGGGTCCAGTTATGGTACTATTCAGCAACCTACAAGTAGACGCTCGGTAAGTCGGACGGCCACCTCATCCTTCAGATAGTCTGTCTCCCGACTAAGCTCTGGGTTGGCTGCAGCACGCTCCTTCTGCAACCATTTCGAGCGGCGGTTGAACACCTGGAAGCGTGGCGCGCCACCGGACTGAACCGCATATGTTCTGCGATAACATCGCGATAGCTGGTGCGGCAAGCTAGGCAAGCGGCAGCTCGCGGCAGTAAGAGAGCGCGTGCATGATGACATTACATGCTACTCTGGACCAAGCGACGGGATCCGTGTCAGCATTCAATTTGCCTCGAAGATGTTGAGAATGGAAGGGAGTGGGTAGTTGTGAGTCTGTGACGGCATCATCCACCGCTGAAGAAGCAGCTCCAGCGATTTGAAGGTGCACGGACCAGGGGACTGTCTGTCTGCAATGAAATGGTCCCCACATTTCGACGGACTACCCACAGGCTACTGCAGTGCACACCCTCCGTATCCACGTCCATCTCAGGAGGAATCCACGGAGGCAGTTTGAGAAACTACATTCGACGCACAGGTCCGGCTTGGGGCGACAGAGAGGCGATTTGGATCCAACTACCTCGCGCAGGTTACTTGTCCGCGGAGAGTCGAGACCTCCTGCGACATCTCCGCCCCTCTCACATCCTCGGATCATCTGAGCCCCTCGAATCGCCAACCGGACGCCCGAATCCGAGCCCCTCGCGCGTGTGTATTGATGGTGAGCTCTTGAGCAACTGCGGACGAGCTGTCCAAGTAAACACCAGAGGTCAACATAGGAGTCAATCTGCATACTCCATCGTGCCGATCGATCGACGTTCCGAATTCTACGTGCAGTCTCGTAGCCCTCGGGCCGCTCAAGGTCATCCACCATGTCGACTTCAGGCGGCGGCTTTCTCGGCCGCTCGAGCAGCAGCAATGCCAACATGCGAGGGCTTGTTCAGTTCATTGCTGACCTCCGAAACGCTCGCGCGCGCGAGCTGGAGGAGAAGAGAATCAACAAGGAGCTTGCCAACATCCGACAAAAGTTCAAGGACGGCAACCTCAACGGTTATCATCGCAAGAAATATGTTTGCAAGCTACTATACATTTACATACTGGGCTGGAATGTCGACTTTGGTCACCTCGAGGCTGTCAACCTGATCTCGGCCAACAAATACTCGGAGAAGCAGATAGGGTACTTGGCCATGACCCTTTTCCTTCATGAACAACATGAACTTTTGCACCTGGTTGTCAACAGTATAAGGAAGGATCTCTTGGACCAAAACGAGCTGTACAACTGTCTGGCATTACACGCCATTGCCAACGTGGGTAGCCGAGAGATGGGAGAGGCCTTGAGCAACGAGGTACACAGGTTGCTCATCTCGCCGTGAGTCTGCCCCGAAGGTGCGACCTGGCCATTCAGACTAACAAGCGAACAGGACGTCCAAGTCCTTTGTCAAGAAAAAGTCAGCATTGACCCTGTTGCGACTGTACCGAAAGCACCCCGATATTGTCTCACCACAGTGGGCGGAGAGACTGGTCCATCTAATGGACGATGTTGATCTCGGCGTTGCGCTCTCAGTGACATCGCTGGTCATGACGCTGGCCCAGGACAACTTGGAGCAATACAAGGGCGCGTATGCCAAGGCTGCCACGAGGCTGAAGCGCATCATCATCGATGGCGAATACACAACCGACTACCTTTATTACAAGGTGCCCTGCCCCTGGCTCCAAGTCAAGCTGTTGCGACTCTTGCAGTACTTCCCGCCTTCGGAAGACAACCACGTGCGCGACATGCTGCGCGAGGTGCTGGAGAAAATCCTCAGTCTTGCCATGGAAGGGAGCAAGAATGTGCAGCAGAACAATGCGCAGAATGCCGTTCTGTTCGAGGCTATTAACCTCATCATCCACCTGGACACGGAGACGAGACTGATGAAGCAAATCTCGTCGCGTTTGGGACGTTTCATCCAGAGTAGGGAGACCAACGTACGATACCTGGGTCTCGAAGCCATGACGCACTTGGCTGCGCGTGCCGAAACTCTGGATCCGATCAAGCAGCACCAGGATATCATCGTCGGCTCACTGAAGGATCGCGACATCAGTGTGCGTCGCAAGGGTCTCGACTTGTTGTACAGCATGTGCGATACTGACAATGCGCAAATCGTCGTGGCCGAGCTTTTGCAGTACCTTCAAAATGCCGACTTTGCGATCAGGGAGGAGATGGTCCTGAAGATTGCCATTCTGACGGAGAAATACGCCACGGACGTCCAGTGGTATGTCGACATTTCTCTGCGCTTGATCGCCATGGCAGGCGACCACGTAAGTGACGAGGTTTGGCAGCGCGTCATTCAAATCGTCACCAACAATGAGGAGCTGCAAGTGTACGCCGCCCAGAACGCGCTGCAGTACTTAAAGTCCGACCACTGCCACGAGACACTTGTCAAGATTGGCGCGTATATCCTCGGAGAATTTGGACATCTCATTGCCGATCAGCCCAAATGCAGTCCGATAGAGCAGTTTCTGGCGCTCCAAAGTAAGATCGCGCCATGCTCCTCCGGCACGCGATCCATGATTCTGTCCTGCTTCATCAAGTTTGTCAACCTGTTCCCCGAGATCAAGCCCCAGCTCGTCGGCATCTTTGATCTCTACAGCCACACCCTTGACTCGGAGATGCAACAGCGTGCCTGCGAATACCTCGTCTTGGCCTCGCTGCCGACGGACGACCTGCTTCGAACAGTATGCGACGAGATGCCGCCTTTCCCGGAGCGGCAATCTGCGCTCTTGTCACGTCTGCACCAGAAGCAAGGCGCTACGAGCGACAAGCGGACGTGGGTCATTGGCGGCAAGGATGCGAACAGCGACAGGACGGAGTTGAAGATGGCCTCGCCCAGTGCGTTGAAGCGGACGTTTAGTTCTGGCAACCCCTCCAACAGGGGCTCCAACGGAGCAAACGGTGCCTCTGACTTGGCAGGCCTGGACATGAATGCGTCTGGGCGCTCGGAACCAAAGGCGCTCAATGTGCCCAATTTGGCGAGCGCTGCGCATCTGTCCCCCGGCTGGGAGAAGGGGTACAACCGCCTGCTTGTGCGCACGGACGGTGTGCTTTACGAAGACGGTCAGATCCAGATCGGTGTGCGATCGGAATACCGGGGCCAGATGGCCTGTCTAATTGTTTACTTCAAGAACAAGATCCCCACAACACTGGGCTCCTTTACGACTACATTGGATTTGGACGAGAGCGAGAAGACGAAGCTCACGTGGGAAACCAAGTCCTTGCCGGACAGCCAAATTCCGGAAGCGGCTCAGTCTCAGCAGGTGATCATGTTCGAGGCGAAGCACGTCTTCGCCAGGAGCCCAACTATGCGCGTCAGCTACCTGGCGGGTGCCCTACAAGCTCTGACTCTGAAGCTGCCTGTGGCCATCCACAAGTTCATGGACCCAGCAGATCTGTCGGCAGAAGACTTCTTCAAGCGGTGGAAGCAGATTGGCGGCGCTCCCCGTGAGGCACAGGCCATCTTCGGCATCACTGGCAACAACCGACAGATTAGCCCGGACTTTGTGACAAACACGGTCAATGGCTTTAGGTGGCGGATCCTGGACATGGTGGACCCCAATCCTAGGAATATTGTAGGCGCCAGCGTCCTACACACGTCAGGGGGCGGCAAGTTTGGGTGCTTGATGAGACTCGAGCCAAACTACGATAGCCAGGTACGCTTGTCCAACTGCGGTGTAACACTTTGTACATACTGACCACCTCTCAGATGATTCGCCTGACTATCCGCGCCACGGATGACTCGGTAGCTCCCATTCTCTTGTCCCTCGTTCAGGAGCGCCTCAGCGTGGGCTTCCCGACCGTGTCCGAGCGCGGGGCCAACGCACCTTCGGAGGACCAAATGCTGGATGCATTTGGCAATGTGTTGGTCATGTAAAAGCGAACGGGCATATTCCATGATTAGTGTATAATTACGCGTCCCCTATGCCGGAGTCGCTCTCGAAAAGCGTGGAAAGCACATTGGCGTTTTGCAGGAGCATGATATTGGGTGGACTGCATGTCTAGGTTTAGGGGTGGAAATTTTTTGATGCTGCAGCGGCATCATGGAGGTATGAATTTGGACGAGTCATCCTTGTGTGTGTGTGCGTGCTTCTAAGTTACTCCTTGATCTTCGCCTCGGCCTTGGGTGGCCTTTGACCAAAGATTGTGCTGCCGACTCTGACCTCACCGCTACCCATTTTGATTGCGCCCTCAAAGTCCTCGCTCATGCCCATGCTCAGCTCAAGCCGGCCCGCTTCAAGACCCAGCTCCTTCTCGACAAAGTCTCTTTGTTGCTTAAGCGTGGCAAAGTCCTCATTCTCTGTCTCTGCTGTCGTCGCCTTGCTCCGCGCAATCGCACCAATGGTCATCAGTCCAAGGAGGTGCAATCTCGGGCAATTCTCTAGAATGTCGCGGCAGAGTGCGACGGTAGCATGACCCGGTTCGCAGCCGGACTTTGCCTCTTCGCCTGATGTGTTCACCTGCACGTGGGCTGAGATCTTGGGGAGATCAGGCAGAGCGGCGCGGGCTGTGTTGAGGAGATGCGCCTTCTTGGCCGTATCGACGGACGAAACGCAGAGCAGATTCGGGATCTTGGCCAGGGGCTTACAGTGGCCTATTGTGCATTGTCAGAACCATTGTCGTCGTCGTCCCTCGACCTACTGCAGAATGGGTGGGTGAGAGCTTGCCTGACTGCAGGCCACCGATAAAGTGCCACTGTATGGCCCGAGGAAGAAGCTCGCTCTTCTCCCTCAGTTCTTGTGCATAGTTCTCGCCAAAGTGGACATGGGAGGCCGGCGCTTGGTGAAGCGCGAGAATGTCATTCGCAGGCTTCAGCTTGCTCACGGCCACGAGGCGCACATTCTGGCCAACGGAGGCGGCACCAGCGACGCGCGACTGGATGGCAGTGAGGTTTGCTACGAGCGTGGAGGCGCGGGACGGATCGACTTTCATTTCCTCTGTCATTTCTCCCGTGCTGCCTAATTAGCGAGATGCGCGTCCAGTGTGCAAATATTATTAGTGAAGGATGTTGCGTCGCGGATGCATGACGATGTTGAAATTCGGGATATCATCGGGCAACCGCCTCTCACCTTCTTCCCACCTCGCATCCCGGGACCGCCTCGTACGACAAGTCTTGAATCCCGCCTCTCGTTTGACTGAAAGAAATGTCCGACTTTAAGCATCAGCGACGGCGGACGAACAGCAATGCGCTGTCACTGAGGAGCGCAGGGTCGGCTGGTGGTGGCGGCGGACACGCCCGTGGCATCTCACGCGCCGTCATTCAGCCAAGATCAACACACACCTCTGATGAATTCCTCAAACCTTTCCTCCAATCTTCATTCGACCCTGCGACCTTTATCAATGGCAACCTCCCGCCTGTGCAGCAGCGTAGCGCCGAAGGCGCAGCCACAGGGGGCACGGCGGACCTGTCATCGCAAGCGCAGGCGCTCATTACCCAGCTCAACACTCACACCACACGCCTATCCAACACACTCACAACGCTCACCGACGACATTCTACGCAGCGGGAACCGTCTGGCCTATGAGGTGGAATTACTTCGGGGCGAGACGGTGGGACTCAACGAGACGTTGCATGAAACTCTCGCGGACGATGTGAGGAAGTTCGTGCCAGAAGGTCTGCCGACAGAGCCGGCCGTCACGAGGATAAACGAAGAGCAAGAGGAGGCGGAGGAGCCCACGACGACGTCGACGGAGCCCGAGTTTGTGAAGCAGCTGCAGACCCTGACCCTGGTGCGCGCACGGCTAGACTCTGTGATCAAGACGTTTGGTGACTCTATGGAATTCGTATTCCCGCCCTCGGAGCTCTCCGTCTCATCCTCCTTCCTGTCCGTGTCCGCGCCCGAGCCTGGCTCAGAGCAGCAATCGTCCGAGGAAAAGGGACAGCAGGTGCTCACCAAGCTTCGCGGGGAGATTGCGGATCTCCTCGACACGCCGGCTGATCCCGTGGAGGGCATCGCACAGGCGGCGCAGCGGGTGGAGGAGCTCAAGGAGCTGACGACGGTGTGGCGTGGCACGCGCGAGGAGAAGGGACGGATGCGGTTCATTGAGAGCCTGGCTAAGATGGTGGAGGACAAGCACCGGGAGCTGATGCGGGAGATGGAGCTGGCCGCCAAGAAGAACGAGGCGGCGGCGGCGACTGCGACTGGTAGGACCAGGAAGAGCAGCGTGACGAGGGATGCGGCCGTGGAGGAGGCCAAGGTTGTGCCTGGCGGGTTTGGGCTGTTGAACCAGTTGCAGCGGTTGAGGAGTGGTCTGTGACACAGGGTGGTGACCGATCCCACTGGCCCAGGGACTCAGGCAGAAGCACTGCGGTCCATTGCTATACAAGAGCGTCTAGTGACAGGAAGTTGGTGTCATCTGGCTATGCTATGACATGGCAGATCTGCAAGGGGAATCAGACAGGGGATGTTTGAGCCAGCGCAGCACCATGAGTGCACGCTGAGAGATGAATACCCGAATGGCCTGACTGTAAACGCGGGGACTTACTTGACTGATAATAGAAAATAGTCATGTGGAGGGGTGAAGGACATCTATTTCTATATCAAGTACTCTATCGAACATTCTGCTGAGCCACGAGATTCCATGTTGCATGCCCCTACTCGTCTTTGACCAGAGCCATCACAAAACCGTTGAAGGCTGGTGTAGGTAGCATAGGGTGACAAGCCACGATGGGCACAAGTGTCGCCTTGACTCTGTCGTCTCTCCCAATATGCGTCAAGATGGAATCCACACCCGGTTTCACCTCGCCGTTCTTAAACATGGAAGCCACCACGTCGTCAAAGAAAATACACCCTCCAGGACGGGTCAGTTTGACAGCCCAGTCGAAGTGCTCCAAATGGCCGAGTAGCCACCAAGTGTATCGATCTCGAGCACCGACTTGGCGCCCGTAAGTTGAGTGAGGATCGATAGATGCTGGCCAGCCATGGGCATGACGCTAATGGGTGGGAGGCCTTTGGCGGTTTAGTTGGCGAGAGTTTGTTCCAACTTGGGGTTGGGTGCAAGTAGTGAGGGTGTTGGCTAGGCCAAGCTTCTTGGCCTGGCCATGGATGACTTATTGCTTGCCCTGCCAGCCGCCTCGGCGGGCGCACTGACCCGGCGCTAGCCAACTCCAGTCCAATCCTCCCACCAGCGACACTGGTGGTGAGCCAGAACCAGCCTCGACTTGCACGATTTGCTTGCTTCGCTTGTCGGCTTCATTTGCAATTGTGCGAGCTTCATATTTTCTCTGAGCAAAGCCTCCATTTACCGCACCTGTTCGCCTTGTCTGACCACCGCAATGGCTGCGCCCGAGACGGCCATGGCGTTGGCAACCGCAGGTCGACGTTCACCACCACCGCCCTCATCCGCCCTTTCGAAACGAGACCGCAAGCGCCAGCAGCTGATGGACCGTCTCGCTGCGACGGATGAGCAGTTTCAGCGCGAGAAGAACCTCACGTACCGTGACCAGCTCCAGCGCATCCAACTTGACATCAACCTCGTCCAGAGCTTCGACCCCTACGCCCCGAACGCCCTCGATGTCATTGGGGGCGCCCAGAGTGAGCATGACCAAGTGCAAAGGGAGCAGGCGCATGACGAAGGAGCACGGAGTCTGCTGGACATGGCCGGCATCAAGTTCCACACCTTTATGACCGAGATGGAGGACTTGATTGAGAAACGGGACTTTCAACTCACACGATCAAAGGTACGCCACACACGACAGGCGACTGCCCACCACGTCCACTGACAAGACTAGAATGAATACGATCGCAAAGTCCAAGAATATAAGAGCGTCCGCGACTACAAAATCGAGACCGCCAAGCGTGAGCATCGAGCCTTGACAGGCACACTCCGCGACCGCCTCATCAACACCCTCACACAAAAGAAGAATCGGCTGAGCCGCGAGAAGGAGGTCCTGGAGATTAACGACTCGAACGCTCTCCTCCTGAACCCCAACCAATTCAGCATCACGAACCCAGCGAGCCCCGGCGGCACCCACGGCAAGAGAAACACCCGCCTGCGCAAGGACGTGGAGGACCTGAACATGTTCTCTGACAAGAAGCGAAAGCGCAATGCCGGCGATGATGACGGCTCCCCGGCGCCGACACGACGAGCGCTCGATGCCAACAATACGACACCCCTGTGGCAGTCGGAGAAGGCGCGCGTGGCGGCCAAGCAGAACGGACCTCTCTACAGCATCGACAAGCTATTCACAGACAAGGAGCTGTCCATGCACTACAACACCGCCGCTGTCGCTGCCCACCAATACATCCTACGCTCACGCGTCCACGGGAACGGTGCCTCACCAGACGAGAGTGATTCGGGTACTGGGGACGCCGAGAATGGCGAGCAGGACAACGAGTCGGCAGCCGCACCCACAATGGAGCGGCAAGTCTCGCATGCGACGAGGAGTACACGGGGCGCGGCGAACCAGAACTTCCTCGACGATAGGATCCTCGGGATTGAGGGCATCGCCAACCTGGATGTGGCGAATCTGGACCTGATCCACGCGCAGGAGCCACCCAAGATGCCGCCGCCGGTCCCGCAGCAATATCTCAAGCCGTACCCACGATCGGCGGACCAGAACTTCCCCGTTCCCCTGTCCCAGGAAGACGTGCAGTCTGATCTGGCCATCATCGACTGCATGAAGCGCTACGACATGCAGAACAACAAGCCAGGCGCGGTCCTCGACGGTGCCAACGGCGTCCGCAAGATCCTGGAGGCTGTGGCCACGCCCTACCGGAATGGTCGCTACGTCGCATTCACGCGCGCGCCGAGGGACGACGCCGAGACATTCCGGGATGGACTCGGGCTGCGGGAGCAGGCCAGTCCGATGCCGCATGGTGCGGCCCCCATGAGCCGCCAGAGCAGCCTAGGCGGAGTGGCTATGAGCCGTTCGGGCAGCACGCGCGGCCGGGGACGTAGGGCGTGAGCGCTGGCCGGCGTACTGTATTGACCTTTTTTGGGCATGATGGAGGGCGTTTTGGTGGTTCGGGAATGCGTTGCATGAAGCGATGCTGGCGGGCTTTACGTCGCCATGGGCTTTTGATGATTTTCCGCGGGATTCTTTTGTCACTTCAAGGCACTACTGCACAACAGCACTATAGTAGTCATGATATCATTACGCTCGTACGCTCATTATCAAATCGATCAGTCTCCTTTCCACGTTTCTTCAAGGCCCAAAGACCAATGCTCTCACCTCGATGCTTTCCCTACCCTCAGCGTCCTCCCTGGTCCTGGGGTCCACGAATGCCGAGTGTGGCACTCTACCCCCAATCGTACTGCCCGCCTTCAGGCTTTCGCTATCAAAGCACTCGAGCAGGATCCTCTCATCACCCGTCATGCCACTGAGATAGTACCACTCCTGCTCCGGGTTGTGCTGGATGGCAGCCGTCTCGCCCGTGTAGCCATCAGGGTACCTGTGCTCAATGGGGATCACATCTCGCTCGTCAAGGGTGGCGCTGGACGCGAAGCCGAGGGGAAAACTCTCGACGGGCGTCTTGTTGAGCGGCCGCCAGACGTTGACGATGCGGTACCGGCCCTGGAGCAGACGGTCAGCCTCCTCGGGCGCGTAGTAGCGTCGCACGCGCTTCTCGACGGACGACGCTGTCTGGTCAATGTGGACTCTAGTGACGGGGTGGCGCGACGAGGTTGGGTCTGCGCGGCGGATGGTGTGGTCAAACAGATAGACCTCGTGGGCGCCTTTGACCTGGTCCAGGAGCAGCTTCTCGACCTCGGGGTAGTAGTTGGCCTTGATGCTCTCGTCGTGGACAAACTTTGCCTCCGCGCTGGGCGGTTGCGATGACAGGATGGCAAAGGCGTCCTTGTCGAGCGAAAAGTCGGCCTCGCGGCCGCGCGCGTCATTGATGAGGACCTGCTTGACGGCGTCCGAGTAGTTGCGCTCTGGTTGGCCGGCGGCTGGCTCGACGTTGTTGTAGGGTTTCTCGGCGGCGTTGGCGGGTGGCGCGTAGAAGTTGAGGGAGGCGGTGACGGGGCCGCGGGAAATAGTAGAGGAGCCCACTGCCATGCTGGTGTCGAGGTTCTTGATATTGGTGCAAGTGGTCTGGTGTGGTGTTTTCGGTGTGAAAGTGACCTGATGTCATGACCATTTGGGAGCAGGACGCTCGCCTTTATACCACGCGGTGTAACCCATTATCGTATCCGTAGCTCGCCATAATGCTCATCATAGGTTTGAAATCAACCGACTGAGTTAGTCATTGTGGCAACGTCCATTGGAGACGGACGCTCGGTGTGGCACGCAGCAGGAGATGGGCTCTTCAGCAGGTGAGCACGTCATTTGCCGTGTGGCGTCGAAGATGCTGTTTGAAATCAATGGCGCAGGGGATGGATTAGTCAAGACGGGCTAATGTGACTGATTATGTTACCATTATTGAGTGGCACCTGTATCCCGTCCGTTCGGATACCTGTAGGAAATATTCGGGAATGGCAGCACGTCTTTTGTCTGTCTGCATAGGTAGGTAGGTACCCAAGTGCAAGTCGTTGAAGCCTCGGTCCATGTCTGGGGATGTGACTCGCACTGTACCTTGCGGGGACATTCCTCGCCAGCCGCACAGTGCACGCACGGAGGCTGCGCACATTTTGCCCACGAGTTCTCCGTAAGCTGCCTAATTATGACGCTTCACACTCAACTCGCATCGGCGCCCACCGCGACCCCCAGACACCGGATCTCCGTGGACGTTGCTCCCGCGTATAGGTCAGCGCCTCCGGGTGGCACACGGTTCATTTCCCCGTCAAGGGCTTCGCGATAGGTCGCAGGGACTGGAGCCCGTCCCCCATGAGGCGCCTTGCAGCTGCCTCGCCCAAGAGGCCCACCAGCCCGCCCACCGCCGCCATGTCACTGCCAACCCGCGACGTGACCCCGGAGACACTCGAGGAGGCCTATGTTGCCTTTATTTTCTATTGCAACCCGGCTGTGCCCCGACACTACGACAGCACGCCCCTGAGGGAAGCCTTTCGGGCGACGCCCAAGCACCTGGGCAAGGTGTTTGACGTATGGACCATCTTCCAGCTCGTCCGGCGGTTCTACGCCAAGGACATCAAGACGTGGACGGAGCTCATCATCACGCTGGGCGTGGAGCCGCCGGACCTGGCCAAGGAGGAGAGCTCGCAAAAGGTCACGCAGTACGGTGTCCGCCTCAAAAAGTGGATGAACTCGCTGCGCGTCAAGAGCTTCTTTGAGTACCTCATGGGGACGCCCAATGACTACTGGACCAACATCCCAAGCACCATTGGCGGCGAGCCCCGCGATGGCGTGGCTGTGGAGGATGACATGGCGCTGCGTGCGCTGCTGCCTCATCTCAGACCGAGGCGTGGACGGAAGAGGCCGAGCGAGAGGGAGCTGGACACGCCTGTCTCTGCCAGGCCGAGACTGTCGCCCGCTTCCGGGATGGAGCCGACCAGCGGCACCTTGACGCCGTGGCCTCGTTCGGAAGAGAACGACATGGGACCCGACCAGGTGCACTCGGCTCACCCGGCCACCACGGGCCCCAGCGAAGAGGCGCGCGGCGCATACGCGCATTGGCCGGCATCCGCCGCGACGCCCACGGCCCGCCATGGGTTCTGGGACGAGACGTCGACGCCGACGTCGGGTCCACGGCAGAGGCGCGGCCCGAAGAATGTATCGTCAGCATGGAGATTGGGTCCGGAAGACAATGGGAAGGCGCGAGGCAGGCCGCCCGTCAACCGCACGCCGGTCGAGGACAGTCCTTTCGCCTACAGGTCGTGGCAGCCACCGCCAGCACACATGGCTGCGGACGCGCAACCCCACACCCCGCCCGTCATGGGGCGAGATATAGCTCCCGGTCCTGCCACGGACCATCCAGGTGCTGCGCAGGTGCCCCTCAGCGACAGGGCATGCTCGGAGAGCCAGAGACCGCAGAGGCCGAGCATCTCGCTCCAGGTGCCGGAACGATCTGGCGGCAATGTGCGCCTCGCTACGCCGCCACCTCCACCTCTTGCTCCACATCCCCCGGGCGTGGTGGTCAGTGAGCACCCCGAGATGCGGCGGACTGCTGTGCACGAGCCCGTTGGCGAGAGAGCGTACGACATGGGACACGGCACGGCGCAGGCCAACGGGCATGTCCCCGTGCCGAATCGCTCGAGCGGCTGGCGCGACTACGCGAAGCAGGCCACGGACCAGTACGAGAGCGCGGACGATCTGGGCAGCTCCGGGCTGCCGGTCGGGTCGACGGTCGAGCACTACTTTTTCGAGAAGACGGAGGAGCGGACCAACGTGGACACGCTCATCAACTTCTTCATGCGGACGACGCAGGACGGGCAGTGGTTCGACTGCGACGGGCATCCGACCGAGGCGGCGTCCATGGACGAGTCGGCGGCGATTGTCAACGCGTTCCTGCAGGGCATGTTCAAGACGGCGACGAGCTCGCAGGCGTTCCTGATCAACCTGGGCGCGCTGGCCGGTGCGCGGACGCTCATGACGACGCAGCCCAAGTACTACCGCCTGCCGGACGGGGATGGGTGCCACAACTACCGGTTCGAGTGGGAGTACAGCTTTGCGCACGTCAAGGGCCACTTTAGCATGACGCAGGTGGTGCCGTGGGACATGTGGAAGAAGCCGCCGCCGCCGCCGCCGCCGCTGCCACAGGGGCCGCCGCCGGGACTGAAGGTGTCTGCTTCCGACCCGGGTGGGCGAGGCGATGGAGGGCCGGGCCTGTCTGCGGAGGAGTGGAAGAAGAAGTACGAGGTGTTGCTCGGCGAGATTGGGCGCGGGAGAAGGAGCTGGCGCTTCTGAGGGGGCGAGTCATGTCGAGTCTTCGCGAGGATTTGTCCGAGTAGCTGTGTGAGTATGTATGTTTGGGGTTGTGGCGTTTCTGTTCTGGGGTCTGGGTTCTGGGTTCTGTGTTCTGGGTCTAGGATCATGGTATAAGGAATGGTAATGTGTATAGGCACGTACATGCTTTGTTATCATATTGTCATCTAGGTTGGGGGGATGCTTCGAATACGACACATTCTTCTGGAAGCCTGCCGCAGTCGGACACATGTGATGGTGATGGGTTGGGCGATCCGACCCACCTCAAGCACGACGGCACCACTGCCGCCATCCAAGTCAAGTGGTGTGTGTAGTGCATTGCGGGTGGCTTGTAGATGCAGCCACACGCTGAGAGACGCATACATACCGAAGCACCATCTACACCATCTGGGCCCAGCCAGCTCTGTTGGCGACTCGATGGGCGTCACAGGGTCCAGATCCAGCAACGGGGAGTGATGCTCCTGGAATGAAAATGAGCCACATCCTGTTGTCGCGATCGGGGCTAACGGACGGGTTCCATGACCGGAAGTACTGGCATGTGTGGCAGTCAACGTGGTCGTCGTCGATGACGGGCGGACGGATGGATGGACGGACTGGACGGGAGAAGAGGTCTCGAGGTGGCGGTGGCGTCGCCCGGATCTCGCCAAGCAGATGATGGTGCGTTCATAGCAGTAATTGTTAGCAGGCCGCTCGGTCTGGCTGGGATGTCCAGTCTCTCTCTCTCTCTCTCTCTCTCTCCCTCTCTGTCAATGTCACTGTCACTGTGATGATAACGACTGGAGCTAGTCTAGGCTGCAGCCTTGAGCCTGTGGGGGAGGGGAGTGTGTTGGCTGTCGACGCGAGCCGGGCGTCCGTGAGCAGAACACAAACAAGGCAGACAACTCATTCGATTGCTCATCTAACACTCAACTCACACTTTGCATTCCTCCGAACCAACATTCACCAGGCTGCTGCCGCTGCGCATCCGTACACGTGCCCACGCATCGTATCCCTTGGACCCTGGACGACCCCGGATTCCAGAGTCGCATTCGGCGTCCCCCTCCTCTCCACCTCCGCAATCTTTTAGACTCTACCAGGCAGCAACCAACGATCGGCCCTATCGGCGCAGACTCACATCGAGAAGCCATCAGGCTACAAGCCACGGCGCGACCCTCCCAATTCATCGAAACACTTGGTCGACTTGCTGCTCCCTTGTCTCTGGGGCACAAGCAAGCATCGGCGAAGAGCCTGGGCGTGAGGGAGGAGAAGAAGAAGCAGAAGAAGCAGAAGCAGACGAAGACGAAGACGAAAACGAAAAAGAAGAAGAAGAACAAGTGAACCCCACCCTGGCCTGGCCTGGCTGGGTCCGCCGGTTGAACTGCATGACTGGCCCTGCACCACCATCCATTATCGCATTCAACCTCACCCCAGGTCTCGCAAACCTACGCCTCTTTCGCATGACTGGCCTCGGTCATGTCGCAGTCCTCTGCGGACAGTGTCGAGCAGGTCGAGGCTGTCAACGCCCGGCCCAGGAACACGGCCCGTCGCGCACCACCATGCCCTGAACCAGGCCGTCGCTCCGAGGACAGGCAGGTCAACCTAAACGACAACTACGAGGCGCGCATCCAGAACCCCCTCGCCAGCCTACCGCGCCACACGCTCCTCCGCGCCGTCGACGACTTTTGCACCGACAAGGGCCTCGAGCAACACCGTCTCCTCATCCGCAAGGGAGCCCTGGTCGCGCGCGACCCCACAGGGTACGAGGACATCACCGGGCTCGAGGCGCTGGACCAGACCGAGATTGACGCCCTGCGCGACGAGGTGCTGCACAAGTGGCGTGTCACGCCCGTCCTGCTCCTGACCATTGTCACCTGCTCCATCGGCGCCGTCGTCCAGGGCTGGGACCAGACGGGCTCCAACGGCGCGACCATCAAGTTCCCCCAGGTCTACGGCATCGACGGGGAGAATATCCGCGACAAGATGCTCGTCGGGCTGGTGAACGCGGCACCCTACATCGGCACGGCCTTTGTCGGGTGCTGGCTCTCCGACCCCATCAACGACCTGGTGGGACGCCGGGGCACCATCTTCTTCTCCGCCATGTTCTGCCTGTGGCCCGTGCTCGGGAGCGCGTTCTGCAACTCCTGGCCGCAGCTCCTGGCCTGTCGCCTGCTCCTGGGCTTCGGCATGGGGTCCAAGGCGTCGACCATCCCTCTGCTGGCGGCCGAGACGGCGCCCGCGCCGATCCGCGGTGCCATCGT